GGCTGGCCTCGAATTCACAGAGATCCACCTGCCTCTGCCTCCTGAGTGCTGGGATTAAAAGCCTGCACCACCAACATCTGGCTCCTTGAACTCTTTTAACGTTCTCTGGGCATGGGGTCTTGCCTGCCTGAGTTCTCTGCTCTTGCTGTGGCCAGTCACAGGGACAACTCCTAAGAGAGCAACACCAGGCTCTCCCAATTGCCATTCCAGCACCGGTAGGTTAGCCCTACAGTTACCCTCTCCCCTACTACACGTCCCTCTAAGGAACAGGGACCTGCCTGCTTTGCTCACTGCTCCCCTCAACCTAGCAGAACTGGAGGTGTGAGAGTTAACTCAGAGCCCACACTGCCAGCTACCAACTGCTAATGCTGAGAGCAGTCCAGCTTTACCCTTACACAGCACCACTGCCCTGTTGTGAGCCGATAAGGATAAAGTGTCCCTTAACACAGGACATCCAGGGAAAAGGGCATATGTGCTGGCATCTCATGAGGTGAAAACCAGCTGGGCCTATGCACTTTGAGAAAGTGGCAACAGACGGCGTTGACAGTTAGGAACTGAGAGGCCTGAAGCCTGAGGCTGGCAGATGGACAGTATTCACAGCAAACAAAAGGCACAGCATCTACTTTACCAAAAATGGCATTCAGAACCCTGAAAAGGATGGCTTTGGGGTGTGTGCCTCATTCAGCAGTGCCTGCCTTGCCTATCCAGGACAACATATAAAAAAAAAAAAAAAAAAAACTGAATGCAAAATGCTTGTTTGCACCAGCCAGGCTGTCCCTCCACTCTGGGGCAACAGAATCCCCACTGGAGGGCAGAGGTTATGAGGGAAGGGTGACCAAACTACGAGTGACTTCTGCCTTGTACTCAGCTTATCTATTTTAGTACTATAGGCTTAGAAATATCTGTAAAATAATTACAATACACAGTAGACCAAATTATTTCAAATTTGTCAAGTGATTCTATTGCTGAATGAAGATATTCAGCTTTTCCCACTACTTGCTGTATCTCAATGGAGAAGCGGAGGAAATCCTGCTTTGCGGCCAAGCATCATTGGTTCTAGAAAATGATTACAAGTGAATTAGCCTCCAGGCTCCAATACAAGGCAGGACTGTTCTAGCTCTCTTATGGCTTCTTCACCCTTGCAAAATGTTGGGCAACCATGTCTCCAAGCCCACATTCCAGACACCCAGAACCTTCTCTCTGAGGGTACTCCTTCTCCTGGTATAACAAAGGTCTTGAGGGAGTCCAAGCTCCAAGTGTGGGACATGGATCTGGGTAGACAGGAAACCCATTTCCACCAGTGCAGCCCAGCAAATAACACCCCCCCCCCCATCACCCAGTGCCAGTGTGGGAACCAGGCACTCTGCCCCAGCCTCACTGTGAGTGGCTGGGGCCTCAAGGTTTTTCATTCTCAGCACTGGTTTATTTAGTCTTGATAAGCTGAAAAACAATATGTCCCTAAGCATTTAAGGGTGTGCTGGGGTGAGGTTAACAAGATGGTAAAGCACATGCTGGAGAGACAATAAAGGAATTGCTGTGATGACTGGGCCCACTCTACTGCCTGGCACCTGAGTTGCAGTGGTGACAGTCCTCTGGGTGGATGGCTAGCCTTGTTAAGTAAAACAACCCACTTGGCTATTTGAAACGCACAAGCAGCTAAGGTCCCTAACATGCTAACTGCAGCTACATTGGAGAGGCATACTCTCTGGACAGCTAACGACTAGCTCTGGTTAATGGTAAAGTGACCAGATGGCTGTGACATACACCTAAGAGTGGTTGCCCTCTGCAGCTTCCAGAACTCTAGGCCCTGCCACACACCTCAGCAATTATTATCCCCAGTCTCTCTCTCTACTCGTTCTCAGTAAATGGATAACAGGCACCCTCTAAATATTAAGCAGTCATCTTTAAGAGCCTTGTCCTAAGCAAGCAGAAGACACCAGACACCATGGGAATGAGGAAAATAAAGGCTTAGCCACTGCTGGCAGCAGTAACAGAGCACTCAGTCCTCTCCCTGTGGATGGTACACTCTGTGCCTATCTATCTGTCCAACACCTCCCACTCTCAATTCCCAATGTCCTCTATAGGGACACAGGAAGTATGCTGATGGGGCTCTAGAATCACCTGTGCTGGACTTTAGCCCTGGCCTGTCATCTGTGTACCATCACCTGCATTATAGACTACCTCCTGGCCAGAAAGCTCTAGACTCATCCTAGATGCTGAAGTGATGACCTGCCAGGTCTCCTGTTCCTCTTTAAGTCCTTCACCAAGAATTTCAGGGCAAACAACAGATCTGCCCTGCTCTCGGAGGTGTTCTAACGGGGAGAGAAGAGCCCGAGATCACAGAGAGCTCAGGGACAGGGGCTCATCCTTCAGGGCTCTCCTGGCCTTCAGTGCCCGGGAAAGTAAGCACGGGTGTCAACTGACAACCCAGATTGAGCTAAACACAATAGCTTGGGATAAATGATTTCAACAGAGCAGGTTTTGTTCTGGGAAATAATTAAGATGGCATAGGCCTAAGCCAGGGCTATATAAATACTAGAATGACCTTTGGATCCACTGAACAATAGACCTTTTGTTAATCCATCTCTCATAAGGAAAAACACTATTTCCCCCTAAAAGTCAGTGAAAAGCCAAAGAAACACCACCATAAGTTTTTGAGGAAGTGAAAAGTGTCCTGAACCAAAGAGGGGAAGCCCTCCCTCTATAGACCAGCTGTTCACTCCAATTAGACAAGTTGAGGGGCAAGAAGGCAGGCATAGGCCACCTTCTAGCTCTAATTCCCACTCATGGCAACAAACCAGTCCAACAGGAGACTGGGGTGGGAGCTGGGGTGGGGGCAGAAAGAGATACCTGGGGAGAACCCAATACAAGACCTGCATGTCTAACTCAGGCAACTGATTACACCTGTGTGGGTAAGGACCCTCTCTCCTGATGGATGACCAAATGAAGGCCAAGGCAGAGCATCTAGTGCTTCCTATATTCTGCACAGAATTCCATAAGACAAGGGACAGAAGAGGTCCTGAGCTCAATATCTCAATATCCCAGAAGGACAGGGGTGAGAGCCATAACCTTCCTAAGGAAGTTGGAACTGGCAGACATCGCAAGCGATAACATCTCTTATGCAGGTATCTAGCAGTTAGGCAGGATCCCTTACAAGTGATCAAGCATCTTTGGAGCGTGTGCTGACAGGATGTTGGGACCCACCCTGAACCCTAGGCTGGGACCAATAACATGGGTGTCTACCAAATCCCGAGGTGACTTGCTTCACACGAGAACATACTCTGAGGGCCCTGACTCGGGCAGCCTCGCCCTCAGCATCCTTGCTCTCACCAGCTCCTGCCAGTCAGTTCTTTCGCTTTCACCATTCAGTCTCTTCTTGGCAGCCAGCCACTCTTTAAAGGTAACTTCACCTCATTAAGTCAACCACAGCATCAGCGATGGACTTTTACTGTGGACTTTCAGAACGGTCCTTCCTTTCAAGTTCCAGAACAATTTCAGCCCTATCTATTGTTGATTTGGTTACAGAAGAACCCCCCTGATGTGGCTTACAGTGTTTACAATTCAGTTATTAGATTGAAAGCCAGAACCCATGTAAACAAAAAGGCTGCCAACAAGTCTTGCCAGGGTAACCTGCAAGTCCACTGACAAGTATCAAGAACTAAAACGTCAGGGCTGGAGAGATGGCTCAGTGGCCAAGAACATTGGCTACTCTTCTGGAGGACCCAGGGTCAACTTCCAGCACCCACATGGCATCTTAAACTGTCCATAACTCCAATTCCTGATGACATATAGACAAGCAAAACACCAATCAATAAATACATTAAGAACTGAAACGTCCTCTCTACTACTGAGTGGCTTAAAACATAAAGCAAAATAAAAACAAAACCTCTACATAAACTCAGTCTTTTCAATTGCTGGTCTCAGTTTTGGCTAGTGCTTGTTAAGGACTTAAGAAAACCTAAGATGGCCTAGAGACTAAAAGCACATACTGCTTTTAGGGGATTGGGATTTGATTCCCAGCACCTACATCCTACAGCTCCAGCTTCAGGTGATCTGACACCTCTGGCCTCTATGGAAAACTGCACACACCTGTACATACATAATTCAAAAGAAAATAAATATTAGGAAGAAAGAAAAAGGAAACTTAAGACCCAAGAGAACATTCCATTAGTTCGACATAAAAGCCTGGCACTCAAAAAGCAGAGGTCAGTGGATTCAATGGATTCAAGGCCAGCCTGAGCTACAGTATGAAGCGCTCTTTTCAAAGAAAAAAAAAGTGTTCCAGCAATGAGGAAATAGAAGGTTAACATTTTAAAATAGTCATTTGCAATTGTGTACTTGGAAAAAGGTGTATTTGCAAATCTGTTTAAGAAAAACACAGCAGTGTTCAACACCAGACCTAAAGCCAAAGGTGCTGGAAGAAGAGCAACAATTTGTCTTCTTGCCCTGTGAGATCTGTAATTAGAGGTTAGTTCAACAGTAGTAAGCTGGTGAAGCCAAACCTCAGCCAGTGCTGGGAAAGCTACTGCACAGCCACTTAAATCTCATTTACAGGAGCTGCTGGAAGAATGTCTGAAGTCTGCAAAGGTGAGTAACAGCACTAAGAAAGGAAAGATTTCTCAAAAGCTATGGCTAGTGAATGAGGAGCCCAGCAAGAAAATGCTTTGTAAACTTTCTGCAGAACAGTCCCCAGTGTCTGGGTTTCTAAGTTTCTCGGCTCAAAGCCCACCATATGGTCGGCTACCTAGCAAACCAGGTTGGGGCTTGACAGGAATGGAGACCTTCCGGAGTGGAGATGGTAGGCTCTGAAATGCCACTGCTGGGGATGGGGAAGGTCAAGGCTGGTCAGGGAGTGAGTGGCCAGGATAAGAGGCTGGGGGCAGGATGAAGTCGGTGTTCTGAGAGCTGACGACCTCTGGAAAGCCATCCGCCCCTGCTGTGGCTTCGACCCACACAGATGTCGCGCGGGAGGAACGTCGGCCGGCGCGCAGGACTCTCACCTCGCACGTCCGCCGCCAGCGCTCGCCAGGTGGGCGCGTAGCCGATGCAGTGGCCGCACCACGACGAATGGAACTGCACTAGCCACGCGGCCGAGCTGTTGCTCGTGGCCGAGCGCACGCTGCCGCTGTCCAGCAACCACACGGCGTCCTGGCCCTCGCGGTACAGCCGCGCCGCGCCGCCCTCCCGGGGCCCCGCCACCGCCACCAGCAGCAGGAGCAGCCGCGCGGCCCGAAGAGAGGGCGGCCACCGCGCTTCAGCTCCGGGACCGCGCGCCACAGCCCAGGCCGCCGCCATGTTGGGAGTGCCGGCGGCGCGCCGACCTTTCACCCTGGCAACCGCCGTCACGTGCTTGCGCGCGCCGGCCCCTCCCTGTGTCATCTCAAGCACCACCCCCTCGTCCTTCTCGTCCCGCCCCCGCGATTTGGCCCCGCCCCGAGCCCTGGTCATTCCAGGCCGAACCCTGCTTGCTCTTTTTGCCCCGCCCCCGTATACTGGCCCCGCCCCAGAGCACAGGCCCCCGCCTCATTCCCTAGGCCTGCCCCGCCCCCACACGTCTAGCCCCGCCCCTGTTGGCCCTGCCCCAATCTTAGCTCGCTCCGAACCACAAGCACTTCATACCCAGCAGACCGGACCGCATCGCGAGGTCTGGGCCTTGGTAGCCAGATTAGCATGGGAAATAGCCCATGCCAAGTTGAATGTGAAGTTGAGTAAACACTACGCCTGGAGTTTCAGTTTGAAATGCCAATTTAATAGGGCATAATTAGGCTCAGAAACTATTCTCTGTGTACCTGAAATGCATATGTAACATGCATCCTGTGATTTTACCTGTCGACTTCATATGTCCACGATAATCACCTTTACCTTTTTATAGCCTGGAGAATATGGGAGAGCCAGCAACAGGGCAGAGTCAGACAGTTGCCTGCTAAGAGTGAAGTAGACCTGACTCTTCTTTTTTTTAGACAAGGTTCTAAGGCTGGCATGGAACTGGATATATAGCTGACTCTGACCTTGAACTCCTTTTCCTCCTGCCTCCCTAGTCCTAGGATTACACACGTGCACCACGCCTGGCTTCTCCAATCACATACTCTACTTTCCTGTGCTAGTTCTTATTCTGTGCCAAACACTGGAGAGAACATATAATTCAACCCAAGCCCTGGTGCCCAGGGTTGTGTAGAGCAAGTGGTGGGAGCGGTTGTGCATTATAAAAGCATGGCAGCATCTCTTGGAAAGGTACTCAGTTGAGTATAGGATTGAGAGGAACATGTACAAAGTTCCTGAGGTGAATGAATGCTGACGAGCCCTTGGAAAACCTAGGAAGTGAGGAGCTGATTTTGGTTGGAGCGCAACTAGGGCAAGAGCAGAAGTAAGAGAAGTTCCCCCAGTGACACCATGATGAGGGGTGATGGGTGCCTCTGATTGTGGATTGGATGGGTGGGATCCCTGCATATCCTAGTGAGAGGTGGAGCAGGGCTCAGAACTCTGGTACCTACAGACCACATTTAGGGAGGTGAGGGAGCAGGGGGGAATTGCTTGAGACAAAGGGAGACACTGGTTGGGAGACAAATACAAAGAAGCTGTTTGGTGTTTAATGACCCCTAGAGGGTGAGTAAGCAAGACCAGGGACCACAGGGAATGATATGGAAGCTGCCTTGGAAAGCAGGCATGAGAGGACTGGCTGCTTTAGCCTGGACAAGGCCTGCCTGAGGCAGGAGAGACTGAGCTTCAGGTCCCAACTCTGAGGCAAGAAAGTCTGAGGCAGGATAGGATAGGAAAACCCATGGGGATGAAGAAGGGACTCTGGAGTCTGGCTGAAGCCTCTCTCCAGCTGATAGATAATCAAGAATTCCAATACAATTAACATTTGCTGACAGACATTTTCAAATAAGGATGTTAAAGTAGCAACAAGCCACGTTTGAGTCTTTGCAATCTAAACCTGCAAGTTTCTAGGAATCTCACAAGGTACCCTATTTACAAGAAAAGATGTGTCTTAAACCCACTATGGCTCAAGGTTTTATTTTTAACAGATTGCAATACCATCCAAGGTGCCATCAGAACTATCCTATGATCTCAGTTATTGAAAACAGGAAAAGGGAGAATCCCTTAGGAACCTGCTGAGCAAGAAACTCTAACAGCCTCCAAAATCCAACATATGGCTATTGCTAAACCACTTAGGTGAGACTCTCCTTTGAGAAGCCAACACCCAGACTTAGGTGTGCCCTATTCTTTCTCTGAGCATCTCTCTCTTAACCACTATGCTGAAGTTTTTGTTGTTTCCTTCCTCATGAACTCCGACTCTGCTACCATCTGGCTAATCCTGAAATTATCTATGGTGCTACCTGATGGAAATCCTTGAAGGATAGGAGACTCCTCAGGATGCTGGGGACCACATGGGCTGTGTCTACTGCTGCAACTGTGTGTCACTCATGAGTTCACTATACTCCCAGCCCACAGCAGCTACACTCCTGGGGCAGGGCTCAGACAAGAGGCACAATGAAAATACTCTGTGTTCTAGGGAGTATGTATGGCTCTTACCCACTTGTAAAAACCCCTGTGGCCTTTTGGTGTGTTATATGAGTGGCTGTCATGGTGGGGCTAGGCACCAAGCCCTAGGGACTTGGGAAAGCTGTGTGACAGTTTGGCATGTGGAAAGCTGAAAGCACAATTTAAGGGAACTGCTTAGCAAGACACTGACAGAGACAGATCACATGAAAATCAAAGGCACAGGTTAACTGAGAAATAACTATTTTCTATGAAAAATAATGGCTTCTCCTGAGGCTCATGTCAAGATTTATTGGCCCAAGTGGTTACAAAGGATCAGCAGGTAGACTGTGAGACCTTGGGAGGGAGGAACCTTGGGCTGAAGCCTCACCAGGTCAATACATCTGAATGCCAAAGCACCCTGCTCGCACACATGCTAGTGAGATAAAATGTCTAGCACTTTCTGTGGATACACTTTCTCTCCGCCCACAAGAGTAATTTTATGGCTTGGATCCTGCAGCTGTAGCAGTCTTCAGAAAGCCTGGCCTGATTCTCATTAGTTGTTTCCCATCACCAAGCTTCCCTTCAAGGACATCATGCCAAGGCTGAAGCATGCTGCACCTGTTATGTACCTAGGGAAGGTGGCTCTGGGGAGGATCCTGGCTGCACTGTGTGTAGCCCTAATGTGCCTAGGTTTCAGCACCAACCTCCACTAAACTAGACTGGCCAGGAGCAAAGGGGGTGCTGTGGAATTTGAGGCAGATTTGTAAGGTTTTGCTGGGGGAGATTTATTGCCATGCCAAACGTGTGTGTAAAATACATAATTCCCCTCACTCAGTCCCATAAATCCAAAGGGGTTAGCAATAAATAGGGAGAAAAAAGTAAAAAAAAAAAAAAAAAAAAAAAAAAAAAAAAAGACCAATTCATTTTTAAAAAATCCAGAGGGCATTTAATAAGAAACCTATAGGTCAGAAATGTGTCTTAAAATTATGTACACAGAAGAGTGCATGTTCCCTGACCTGACCAAACCTCTTCTGTGCTCTGGCACCAGCTGAGAAACTTGGTGCAGGATCTTAGCTGAAAGATCGCTGGAGCCATGTGTTCAATGGGCCTATTGGACAAAAGGTGGCTTACTGAGCAGCTCATTGAAGCTAAGAGGCTGTGATGGCCCTGAGGCCAGGTTAGCGAGGGACTGTTGGGAAAGGGATCCTACTTCATAGCAGGGGCCCAAAGGAATTATAAATGGCCTAGAAACCAGCACCAAAGCATGCAGCAGAGTCAGGACAAATCTGACAGCTTAGCACCAATGGGCTTTCCCAAAGGCCATAAGCTAGTCAGAGGAAATGATGCCTTACAGTTGGGGATCTTGGGTATGGTGGGAGAGGCCAAGCCCTGGATGGATCAGCCTTGAACTCCAATGTCCCTAAGGCAGGATACTCATCTATCAGGGATCCATACCCACAAGGGCCTTCTCATTCAAGAAGTTGCATTCTTTTGTGACTATACTAATATTCATTAATATGTACATTTAAAAAACAAAACTATGGTATGTGAATTATGTCAACAAAACTTGATTAGAATCCAGGTGGTTGGTTGTATTGTACACTTCTAATCCTAGCACTTCAGGAGCCTGACAGAAGCTGTGGATATACTGCCCAGGGAAATGCAGACAAAGCCAGCCTGTAATGGGCATCTGACCTGACTGTCAGATGCAGGTGAACATTGGGCTTTACAAGCTGAGACAAAGGTGGATCTCTGTGAATTCAAGGCCAGCCTCATCTACAGAGTGAGTTCCAGGACACAGAGAAACCCTGTGTTCAAAAAATTAAAAGCCAACCCCCTCAACAACAACATCAAAAACCCACTTGGTTAGAAGAGTCTGGAAAGATGGCTCAGCAGTTAAGAGTACTTGTTTTATTTAGACAGAAAAGAGGCGATGATGGGGGATGTCCTTCTGTATATATGTTTCTCTTATTGGTTGATGAACAAAACACTGTTTGGCCAATAAAGGCAGGAAGATAGGGGGCAGTAGGAGATGAGAATTCTGGGAAAGGTAGAGAAGGACACACCAGGTGTTCTCTGGTAAGATAAGGCTGTGTAGAAATACATAGATTAGTTATGGGTTAATAATTAAGACAGAGCTAGCCAATAAGAAGCTCTAGCCATCTGTCAACAGTTTAATAATTAAAGTCTTTGTGTGTTTATTTTGGGGCTGAAGTGGCTGTGGGACCTGACAATATAAGAAAACTCCAGCACCTACTTGGTGGCTCACAGGTGGTTGAGATTCCAGTTCCAGGGATTCAACACCCTCTTCTGACCTCTACAGGCACCAGGGCAATCTCATGGTGCACATATATTTGTGCAGACACAACAGGCACACATATAAAATAAAAACTTTTTTTTTTTTTTTTTTTTTTTTTTTTTTTTTAGGATTTGTGTATTATGTAGTGTTCTGCCTGTATATAACCCTGCAGGCCTGAAGAGGGTGCCAGATCTTATTACAGATGGTTGTGAGCCAATATGTGGTTGCTGGGAATTGAACTCAGGACCAACAGCCAGTGTTCTTAACCACTGAGCCACTTCTCCAGCCCCCCAAAATACATCTTTTAAAAAAAGTTTTAAAAGAGATTAGATGAGCTGGGTGGGGAGTGTGGTGGGGGACGGGACTCAGCAGTAGAGCTTCAATGTCGCTAGCATGCACAAGGCCCTATATTGCATCCCCAACATTGGGAAAAAGTGTTAAAAATATATCTGAGCACTGTAATGCAGGCCTGTGCTTTGCAGGAGGCTGAGAAAAGAGGATTGCAAGTTTGAAGGTGCTTGGGCTAGAATGAGTTCAAGGCCAGCCTGGGAACTGCCCCCCACCCCAGGTCTTAGCTTCTCTCTCCAGGTGCTGGTAAAAAGTAAAAGGGGTGTGTTGAGAAGGCTCAGTGGGTGAGGGTGCTTGCTGTCAAGCCTGGTAACCTGAGTTTGATCCACAAAGTCCGTGTAGTAGGTGAGAACTGATTGTTGGTTGTTCTGTGACCACACACTGTGGCACCTATGCACATGCAAGTAAATGAATGCTAAAAATAAGTGAAAAGGGGCTGGGGATATAGTTAACAGCATGTTTTCTGAGTTTGTGCTAAAGCCTTGTTCTGATATTGTGGTATATACAGAAGTATAAAAATAAAAAAAATCATTTTCTGAAGATAATTTCTTCATATTTTAGACTATTTACTCAAGTGCTTTTTTTAATTTTTAAAAACTGATCTATAAAGCAAAAACATACATATTACCTGGCTACCATGTGATGTGTTTAACTGCTTTTTTGTGAGAAATTTCCCATGATTACTGAACTATACAGCAACTCATTGACCAAGCCTTTTCCTGGAGCATAAACCAATGTCATTGACACAGACTACTCACAAGCATAGTTTTTAAGGATTAAAATAAGATGTGAGCAAGACTGAGCGTAAGAAGGGGCATGGGGGAGTGAGGGAGAAAGAACAGGGTGGAGGATTGGCAGACATTGTCTTTATGAGATCCAGCAAGATAGTGGATATACACCAGTAAACAGGAAAATAAAACAGTAAAGGATGGATGATAGATTAGATATGTATACATAAACATGCACACACAGTACACATACATGTACACACATGCTGATTTAAGACATGGAAAGCAACCTCTAGGAGTTCCAACCATGTGAGCCCCATCCCATGAGATCCTGCTCAAGCCTGATTCAGAAAACAGATTCAAAAGCTGCTTCTTCTGGAAGGCTTCTGGGTTGGTATAAAAAACACAAACCTCTGGGGTATGTGGCAGCTCATGTCTATAATTCTAGTACTTGGGAGGCTGAGACAGAGAGATTTACATGAGCTCAAAGCTAACCTGGGTTATAGAGCAAAAGTCAGTCACACACAAACATATACACACAGTGCCACTTCCCCAGGGCACTGAAGACAAGGAGACAAAAAGCTGTACAAGTAAGATGCATTGGGACACTCCCACCTGCATGGGGTATCCAGGCTGAAGACTCTGTGTGGCTTCCAGCACAAGATCCTAGAATTCCTAAAGACAGCCCATCACTCTGGGTCCCAGAAAAGCCTCAGTGTAGCTAAGAAAGCAGAGGCATTTCCATTGTTGTCTGAGACTGTGTGCCAGCCCCCAGTAGCTACAGCTGGGGCAGCACTGTGGCTAAGGGGCAGCTAGGAGGAACACACCAGAAACCACTGGGGGGAGGGGAAGGTGGTGCCTGACCTACGTCACTGCTTTAGTGGGCCTGTCCTCACCCTTACACAGGCCCCCAAGTTGTTCTGTTCTCCTGGGGGACTGACTCTAGGAGCCCGTCCCAGGCCACTCCACCCCTGTAGAGATCCTGTACCCTAGACTCCTGGTGAGTCCAGCCCCCAGCTGGATGAGGCCCCAAACACTGCAAGCTCCTCTCATTCTCATGATTAAGCCACTGGCTTCTTTCCACACAGTAAATTCTGCATGGTTGGAACAACAAGACCTTGGATGTGTGTCCTGAGGGGAAAAGTCATTTTTGTGAAGAATGGTCACTGCTTCCTTATAGGAGAGCCACCTGTGTCACCTGCCCATACTTTCAATAACCACTCTGGTCATTCTGTCCTGGAAGGCCCCCAGGAAATAAAGGAGGCAGACTAGGTCTTTGCCTCATCAGCAAGGCCTACAAGGAACAAGATGTCTTTTTGGGCCCCAGTCACTGTGCTCCTGAGAAAATTAGTGTCCCAGAAAGTTCCATGATAGAAAAAAAATCACAAAACCAGGAAAGACCCCCAGCCCCTGGGGACAAGCCCCAGGCCTTGCTTGTCAAGGATGACCAATTATCGGCTCCACAGACTGAACAAATATCCCTTAGCCACAAAAAAAATCTGTTGGAAATAGGAGACATGGCAAGATCCAGATGGGACTGGAGACATAGCTCAGTTGGTAAAGCACTTGCCCTGCAAGTATGAGAACCTATATTCAGTTCCTAGAATCTATGTTCAAAAGACAAACGAACTAGACACAGATGGCTCAGCCTGTAGAAGCACTAGCCATGCAAGCTTCATGAGCTGAGTTTGATCCCTAGAGTCCACTGCAGAAGGAACCAACTTCCCAAAGTTGTCCTCTAACCTCCACACAAGGACCATGGTGCGCGCGCGCGCGCACACACACACACACACACACACACACACACACACACACACACACACCCCACAATTGCTTAAAAGAACTAGAGAGATGGCTTGGTGGTTAAGTGTGTTTCATGCTCTTCCAGAAGACTTAAGTTCAGTTCCCAGCAACCATACCAGGTGGCTCACAACCACTTGTAACTCCAGTTCCCGGCATTTGTGACAGACAGACAGACACACTCACTCACACACACGGAGTCATACGTCAGATATCTATGAGTTCCTGTCATTTCGGAGCACACTCATAGGGGCTGTCTTCAGGGGCCAGCCCTGAAAGTGCAGCCAGAGAGTCACACAAGATCCTCCTGCTAAGCTGGGTAGACACCATATCCACCAGCCCAGCATCTCCTGTCCCTGAAAAATCAGCACAGACACCAGAGGCAGGGTCAAAAGCCCAGTTTCTCCTACAGAGTGGCTGTCTGTCCAACAACCCCTGGAGCTTGCGTTGGTCCTCTGTCCAGCAGCTCTGGCTTTCTTTCTCACTAGTGTGCTTGAGGGATTCAGCCACCAAGGACACTGGCTGGGGGGATGGGCTTTCAGAGGGTGCAGACCAGGAGGGTGACAATGTGGCTGCCCTTCTGTCTAGGAGGTGTTCTATTCCTTGCTGGTGCCCTGCAGCCTCCAAACACTGCTCTGCTTCCCGGGGTCCACCTTGACTGCCTGGGGCCTCCTCAAGATTCTCTCTGGCTACACAAGCCACTGAGGATGAACTCTGGGGTTGATTTGACAGTCTTAGGGGTGTCTCAGGGGCACTGACTACGTGATTATTCAAGGGAAATGTTGAACTTGAATTATTCAGGCTTCCATCTTGCCCAGATCTTCCCAAGCAGGGCCCTGACTTCTGGGGCCCCAGGGAAAGGGTTTTCTCAAGAGCCCCCTCAGATAGGGAAGACATGTCCTCAGTAGCAATGGACGTATCCTCTCCTAGGGTATCCAGTGAATCACCTGGAAACATGGCCTCCTCAGGTGGGGAAGGGAAGTCTTCTGAGCTGGGGTTGGGCTCATTGATGTCACTCTTTGCTTGGAGAGTAGGAGGTGGTGGAGGGAGGTGAGTGTCCCCATGGATAGAGGATGGAAGGTCCCCACTGCCATAAGATAGCTCCTCATCCACAGGGGACAGTATTTCAGTCAGGAAGCCATCTTCATATAAGGGACTGGCTACCTCTGTGACAAGGGGAGCTCTGTCCTCAGAAGAAGTCTTCAGAGTCATAGGGGCCTTAAGGTTAGGCAAGGCCTGTAGAGGCTTCCTATCCATGGATGCATTGGAATCCTGGGGTTCCTCCTGGTAGCCAGCTGAGGCCTCAGTAGGAGTAGGCATGTTTCCTTTACTTAGACCTGCCCTTTCAGAGGAGGAAGTGTCCAAATGAAAGGGCAGTGGCAGAGTAGAGTCACTGATAGAAGGGACCTGGGGAGGGAAGGTTGTGAAGGTGGTCACAGGGGACATCTGCCTGGTTTTCCCTGTATTCAATGTACCAGACAGGCTCTTACTGGATCTGGGAGCTTCTTGTTCTTCCCCAGGCCCCGGGGAGGGAAGAGTGGTATAGGGCCCTCCACTGCCTTCCATGTCCAATGAACCATTTGCAGGCCAGGAGCTCCCTGAGGGTGGCTCAGCACAAGGGTGAGGTTCTTCAAGACTCTCTTCATTGTTCTCATCCCAAATTTGGCTTGAGGACTCTGACAACTCTGACCCCAATCTTGGAGAAGGAACGTGTGGGAATGACAATGGCCAGCCTGCCTGACGGAAGTTGTCCCCCGGCTCTGAGCTTCCTGCCACAGCTGCCTCCTCAGAGAAGCCACTCAGGAGTCTGGCCCCACCATCTTCCAGTCTCTGCAGGGTCACCTGACCTACATCCCCAGGAACCTCCTCCAGCTGAGGAAGTCCCTGGTGGGGATCCCAGAATGGAGGCAGGCCAGGTTCCTCCCAGGAATCCAGAGCCGAAAGCTCCCTAGACCAACCAGGATCTGCGTGCAGGGTGTCTTCAGCTTCCAAATTAGACAGGGACGTGGAACCGCTAGAAAGCTGGACGAGGGTAGCTGTGGCTCTCTGGAACTCCTGGAGGGATGAACCTGAAAGGTCACTTGATGAGCCCTCTGAGGGGGTGAGGGAGAAGGCGGGGGCTTCCGAGGACCCAGAGCAGCTACTAAAGGCAGACTCAGAACACGCGTCCAAGACGGCAGCAGGCTCGGACGGAGGGCTGTCTGGGTGCCAGGCAGACTGCGCCTCTTCCTCGATGGCCGCAGGAGCTGCTGAGATGGACTGGATTAGGGAGTGGCTAAAAGTTACCACACCCTGCATGGTAGACTATCCCAGAAGCAGTCCCAAACGGAAAAGATGCTCCAACAGAAGACATTAAAAAGGGTGATGGTACCAGTTACAGTTGGTACAGTGTGACAACTCCTAGGTAACTAACTGTTCCAGCCCATTCCCGCCTTGTGGGTCACATGTGACTGTGTGTCTGGACTGAACCTGTGCCACCTCAGCTCTTGTTAGTTCTGGTGGTTGGCTCTATTTATCTTGTTTTGAAGTGTTAGACTCAGCCTGCAGCCCCAGGGAAATGGGTCAGCAGGGTTCCCCCATCTCACCCAAGGCAGTATGGAGGACAGGGCAATGTGCCTTCAGAAGAGCCTCACTTTGATCTAAGAACTGTTTCTGGACAGCCTCTAAGTGAAGACTTATGGTCTTTGAATAGCCTTGCGGTGGGTGAGGGGTGGGAGCCTCACCTGGGGTAGCAGTCTCCCGGTCAGCTTCCAGGTGGGTAGAGGGGTTATCTGGGTTCTCCTGGTGACAAGTTTCTCTCCTGCAAGCACATGATGAAGTCCTGGCTGAGGGAAGGATTCTTGCCTTTCAGTTGCCTTTGCCCCAGGGCTCATAGTCTACTACCCCCATGACCCACTCTTATGAACAGCCCTGCCTATCACCACCATGAGAAGTGACCATTGCTACACAGGGTTACTTGGGATGGGGTGGATGGGGGGTAGGGAGGACATCTGACCACTTGATCAGGTCGCAGATGGAGACACTTCCAGACACCTGTGTACCCCAACTTCATCTTGGCCCTTCAGTGGGCAACAACTTTGATACCAAGATGGAGTCAGAGCCAGTGGCACACAGCTGGGCCCAGTGCAGCACTGAGAGGTCCCAGATACTGACTGAGACTGTCTCCACGCCTCAGTGTCTTCCTTACCCTACCCATGCTCCACACCTTTGCTGCTCTGACTTCCAGTGTGCCTCTTCCTGGGGTTCCTCCTTGGGGCTTCTGGAAACACTTAGTCCTTGACTTGTTCTGTTTCCAGCCTCCTGGAAGAAACACATTGGAAAAGTAAGATATCTATTAGGGCCTCCCCCACCTCCTTGACTAGGCATCAAAGGCTGTGTTTTCAGAGACTCTCCAAGGACCCCAAAAATACCAATCATCAAACACCTCCTTTCACCCTGGGAAGACTTTTTTCTGTCCAAGCGTTGGGTATGAGGTGAAACCCGTGGAGCCTGCAACTTGCAGAACCGTATGAACCGCCTGTAATACCCTCTGAGCCCTCCTCCCATGGCAACCTGGTGTGATGTGCAAGGTAGTCTCTGGAGGCCACACAGCAGGCCAATGCACCCAAAGCCTGCAGATAGCATGTGGCCATAACAACTCACTCTGTCTTCCTTGGGACAAGAACCATCTCCACTTAGGGGCAGCCCACACTGTCCATGCAAGCTCCAAACATGACTGTCTGTAGGCTGTCTCTCCATTGCCCAGGCTGCACTGGGCTTGGTCTGTAGGTGGCCTGTGGGACAAACAGACTATGAATGCTGGTATGTATAGATGCATGTGAGGGGAGGGGTGACTCCAGAAAAGATATCTGAAAATTCAAAATGGATGCAAGACTTGACCGTGGCATTTGATTAGTGTGAGGACCCAAAAGGTGTGATTATGTGTTTCCCAAATTATCCTGTTGGACAGTTCGTGATATGAAGCCCTGGGTAGGGGAGAGCACATGGAAAAATCATTTCAAATTTGTAGCCCTATTGTCAGGTTGGTGGCACACACCTTTAACACAAGCACTTGGGAGGCAGAGGCAGGCGGACCTCTTTGAGCTCAGGCCAACCTGGTTTACATAGTGAGACCCTTGTCTCAGAAAAGAAACACAAACTGTACACTGTTCCCTCCTTTGGGAACCCTTGCCCGAGCTGTTCCTTTCCTTGTCTCAGCACTGTGCTGAGGTCCTCTAGCACTGTGAGGGCCCTGGCACTCAGGCAACGGTAGGCCTTGGACATGGCATGGTCTTCCACAGCAAGCTAAAAGACCAGCCACGTGAGCACAAAGCAGGGCACAGTAGAGGCAGGTTATACCTCCATACTCCTAGGTCTGAGTCCTGCCTGGACCCTGGTAGACTGTTGGGATCCTGAGGCCCAAGGCCACTGGCCTATGGGACCAGAGCTATGGTTACTTAATGGGTCATCCAGAGCCAGAGTTGAAGGCTGAGGTGATAGGGCCACTGCAAGAAGGACCCTGGACTTCTCTAATGGCCACACCGGGGTGCTCCTAAGAACCTAGCAGGAGCAGTTTTCTGATAGGGAGCAGTGAGAACTGGGTCAGATGGGTGCGTCCTGGACCGTCACTAGCAAGCTCCACCATCTTGGTCCAAGTGCTTCAGTTCTCAGGCCCCAGCTTCTTCACCTGCAGGGTGGGTCATGAGCTTGTTTACCACAAGAGACGACAGGGTCCCTGAGTGTGGTATAAGTAAGTACTGGCTGGTTTCAGTATGACAGCTAGTACACAGGGTGTGGTCACAGAGAGTGACATGAATGGTGAGGGGCATCAGGCCTAACAAACATCCACAGAGCCCTGAACAACAGCCAACAGAGGTGGGCCTCCAGCAGAAGGGAAGGCCATGGAAGTGGGCTCTGCCTACCCCCTGCTCACCATCACCTTTGGACCCCTAGGAACCACATTGGTCCCAGCTCTCCTGGGTAATCTTAGTGCATTGGGAAGGCCTTGCTTCTTCCTATCCTGATGGACTTGGAATTCACTCTCTCCAGTCCCAAATGTGGAGGGTGCCTTAATGTCTGACAAGGCTTGGCATCCCTCCTGTTTCTGTGTGTAGATGTTGAACAAGGAGTGCAGGGGTGGAGCTTCTGAACCCAGGGCTGTGACCCAGGGGTGGGGAACTCACAGATGGCATCAACTCACCAAGAGCCAGCCAGGCCATGCCAACCCCTCAATGTCAGTCTTAGAGCAACACAGAGAGTAAGAAGTAGACTCTCCCACCCCCTGAAAACCGGGAGTTTTGTCCTCAGGGAGGCCTCAGAGCCAAGTGCATGGTTCAGAAGAATTTGTTATGTAAAAAACTGTGGTGTCCACTATTGAGGATGTTTCTGGTGGTGCTGATTTCTAAGCTCTTGGAAATGTCTAGATAAACCAAGCTACAGCTGAAACGGACTAGACCAAGTATTGTCTTTAATGTCCCCAGAGGAGCAGCCGAATCATCTCCCACAGGCAATGGAGTCAGCCAGTCTTCTAGCCATAAAGAAGTCTGTAGTCATGGCAGGGGGCCATGAGCATCCATTCTCTTCGACTTTCCATGGGGACCTCCCTGTCCCTGCTTGACCGTTGGATACCAGCCTTGGACAGGGTCCACTGGATGTGGGGAAAGCTCCTGGAAAGATCCAGGGATATTACCTGGAGGAGACGGTTCCTTGGCCTCCTGTGGCTTCAGCTGAGAGCCTGGGCTATCATCTTTCTTCATGACCTGTGTCAACAAGATAGAAGGAGAGATATACCAAAGAGTATAGGAGCCACCTGGAGACAGAACTCCAAAGACTAGGATGATCAAGGGCCACCAGCACCATGGGTACTAGTCCATGGGCACCTAGGAGTCCCGACTAAGATCAAGCTGTAGACTGGCAGAATGGTAGGGAGGGTCCCAAAACCAGCAGGGCTGAGGAGAGGGGCTTCCTAACAGTTGCATACAGGGAAGGCTGGGTGTTTCTGATGTTCAGGATCCAGAGAGCTTCTGTGGAGCAGACCAGGGGGAGAGACACAAGGCTGTTTTCCAGGCCCTGAAAGACACAATTGCTGGGGTCACTCACACTGACCAGCCTGTGTAGAACCTTAGACTTAAGAGGCTTCACACAGTTTTGCTACTTTGGAGGTGAGGCTTCCTACTGCTTTCCCTCTCTAAGGACCACGTAGCCTTGAGCCCCTACTGCTGCTCCCTACACCCTCCCTTCCCCACCTGCCTCATGTTCTGGTCATAATGATGTCTGGTCCTCTGACTCTGTGCCCACACCTTTTCAGCATCCCTGACTGGAGTGCCTGAGAGGGGGCGCAGCTCCACCCTGACTCCCCCAGACTGTGTGCCTAGGTACTCTGGGGTCTAAAGACACTGTGTTCAAGTCATAACTTGCAAACCTTGGAATGAGATCATATTTGTAAGAGGGCCTTTGCAGACATCATGAAAAATCTCTAGACAAGCTCATCTTAGAGTTAGGTAGGTTCTAACTCTAAAAGAGATGGAGAGGAATTGGACACCGAAGAAGAGAGACAGGCACAGGGAGGCAGAGACTGGAGACGGCCTAAGATCTGGGGACATTTGGAGCCAAAAAGAACTAGAAGGGACCTGCCCTGGAGTCCTTGGAAGGAATACAGATTTCCCACTTCTGGTCTTCAGAATGTGAGAGCATACATTTGTTTGAGGCATCCAGTTTTACAGAAGTCTATTGTGTGGCAGCCTCCATAGGGTCAAGACTGAGATAAAGATGGGGAGGAAGATAATGGAGGCAGAATGGGACACAGGCTGAGTGGGCTGGTGAAGGCAGAGAGTGATCTTCCTGGATTCTTCCTTGTGGGACAGAGAGCAAATGTACCAGGCCATGGTGAGATGGGGACAGTCAGGACTCATGTTAGACTGTTTTCTGCTAATGTTTCCATTTGGGGGTTCTGCCCTGAACCAAGAAAGCAGAGTCCCTTTGTGCCAGAGAAGGGCATGTTCAGCCCTAATCCTTGCCTGGCAGCAGGGGGATGTGGCCAGGCTGCTCTGACAGGTTTGTGCTCTGATCTGCCTGTGGACTGAGTGGCAGGTTACATTAGCTCTGAGCAACTGCACCTGCCAGGAACCCTCTGCAGCAGGAAAGCCTGTTTGGGCAGTTCTCTGTGGCACCCCATATTCTGTATCTCCAAGTGCTTCCAGGGGCAGGTCTGCAACTCTGCTGTGACTTAGATGTGCCCAGGGAGGCCTGGGTAGCCCAGGTCACACACTGGCCTGGTGGCCTGGTATATGGGACTGTCTCACCCCAAGCTTAAAGCTGTCCCCACAGAAGGCTGGGGCCAGCTGATTGAGTGGTTGTTTTTGCTGGTCATTGCCACTGCCCTGAACTACCTTGACTGTCAGGTCCGGTCTCCACAGGTAGGCTTCCAGTCCCAGATGTGGCATCTGCCCACTTCACCCACAGAGGCTGCAGGTGTTTGTCTGCAACTGAAGTTGTCTGGGGAGGTATCATTTCCTTCTGCTCAGGGGAAAGGCTGCAGGGAATACACAGGATAGATGTGAATGGACACCAGCTGTTCCACCCAGGGAACCCATCACTAACCGCAACACTCAGCAGGACCTCATCCCTAGAACCTTGAGCTACATACAGGGCCAGCTGTGGCCAGTGGCCAAGCAGCAGACAGGGTCCTGACCCTCTTCACTCAGCAGCTTCCCAAGCAGAGCCTGTGCCTCAGATAGAGCAGTTGCTGTGGAACATGAACGGGGCCTAGAAGCCTTTTATCCTTTACCTTGTTGCCTGGGCCACCACCATGTGGGTACCAGTCTCCCTCCCTCTTAGTACCCTGGGGAAAAACTCTAGAGGTTCAAAAGGCAGGGCTCTGTATGGGGCAGCTTCTGAGTCCTAGACCTTTCACCAGCAGCAAGTGCTCCAGATCAGGCATGTTACCCTGGCCCAGCCTTCACCCTGCTGACAGGCACACAGAGGAGGGCATGGAGGGACCGTTCTTGCCAATGCTGGTGAGAGGTCCCAGAGAAAGCTCTAGAAGATCCCCCTCTCTTGCAGACCAGCCTAAAGCAGGTGATTTATAGAGGTGGGCTCATTCAATCCCTACCCCCCCTCAAGATGTAGGGAGGAGGTCCAGGGCCTGGGTGGTGATAGCCTTGCTGCGCTGGCAGTGGGTGCCTGGGGAAGATGGGACTGCCAGGATGGGAACCACCTCCAGATCATCCCACCGCTAAAGTGCTGCTTGGCAGAGTGGAACTGAGTGGTGTCTGTTGTGGAATATTTCATTAGCCATGTAAAGGTGTGTTGCATTTGTTTATGTGGCATTTGCCTAATGATGTAAAGATGCGTGGCTTTCGTTTATGCTGCATTTGTTAATGTAAAGGTGTGGTGCTTTGCCTGCCTAATAAAAAGCTGAATGGCCAATAGCTAGGCAGTAGAGGGCCTGGAGCCGAGAGAAGACAGAGGGAAGAGAATGGAGGGGGAAAGAGAGACAGACACAAGCCAGGCAGCTGCAGTGAGAGGACATACAGAATGAAAGAAAGGCAAAAAGCCCTGAGGCTAAACACAGATGAAGAGAAACATGTTAAATTAAGTTACAAGAGCTAGAGGGACAAGCATAAGATAAGGCCAAGCATCCACAACTAACAGTAAGTCTCTATGTCATGATTTGGGGGCTGGCGGTCTGAGAAGGCCTGCTACAGTTTCCAGCAAGAGGAAGCCAGGATGGTCCTAATGGGAAAAGCCCTGCTTCTTCTACCAGCCTGTGATCGAGAGACATTCTTCATGCTCCTCATCTAATACGGGGGCGGGACCTTCACCCCCTGTTACTGCAAATGGCCTTAGTGGCCAGGACTCAGAAAGAGCCCAGTTGTTGCTGGCTATAGAAAAAACCCTATAGTAGTCCCAGAGACTGTCATGCTCACACATGTGTTTTCTGCTGCCCTAAGCCAGCCAGTTTGTTGTGCTGTGGCACTCCATACCCCACAGAAGCTCTAGGGAACTCCATGTGCCCACATCCCTCAGCCACAGAGCCAGTAACTGTGACTGCTGTTTGTCCTTCCCTGAAGCTCAGAGCAGCTCTGGTCCTCCCATGCCCTTCTATCCTCCTCCTGGGAGCAACTGAGTGAAATGGAATCACACAGCAGAAAGTGAAGGCATGAAAGGCTTGTTGTATATGGCAAGTGCCAGGCGCAGGTCCCCTCACTCAAACCCTCACCCACTCACTTTGCAACCTCTGAGCTCTCAGAGATTTCCCGGAGGTGGTAGCTTTGGGGGCTTCCAAGTCTGCATCCCTCTGTTTTCTGACTTGTGTCTGAGACCCCGTCCCGGGTGACCTTGGTGCTGGGGCTGGAACTCTAGGAAAAATAGCACAGGGCAAGGCTGGAGTGGTGACATTCAGCTAGTCCCCTCTTCAGAAAAGCGGGAGGCAGGTGCACATGGCAGTGGCCACCACAGCAAAGCTCAGCACTGTAGGCAGCATGCTCCCACACGAGTGGGCAGCAGCTGGAACAAGCTGTCCTGTCCCTTATCAGGCCTATACCCTCTACTGACGGGGTAGCGGACAAAAGACAGAGCTGGTATTTCTGCCCAAAGTTGCCCAGAGGCATGGAGAACTCTAGAGTCAGGCAACCTGAAGGTTGGGCGATGGCAGGTGCTTCAGACAGGCAACCCACCCTTGTCCCTGTCCTTGAGGTGAGGCCACTGTCCTGCTGCTTATAGAGGTAGGGGAAGCTCAGAGTGCCTGACGTTCTCTTGCCCTCACTCACACACCTCTCACTTTCAACTGTGTGAGAGGAACAGGGACTCAGCTCCACAGGCACGGTAGGTGTTTTGTCTGAGTGGCTGGCCTCTCCTGTGCACTCCGGGCCTGCTAGGGGACACAGAGATCCCCACTGCTACTCTTCTACTGCTGGCCCATCTGAGTGGTACCCTGGGCCTCCTCTAGCTAGACCATTACCCTCCGTCCCTCTGCTAGGCTCTCCACCTCCCATAGGGCTTTTCTTTCACCTTTGTTCTGTAATCACTGCCATATCTTGGAAGGCTGGGCCCTCCCCCAGAGTGCCTCTGCGGTGCCCTCCTCCCCCGCCCTGCTCCACCTCACATCCTCTTCTCCCTCAGCACAATCACCCTGTCCCAGACCCTTTCCACCAAGAATGACAGGTGTGACATGAAGGGGCCAGGTGCAGATGCTGGGAGTGCCCACCTGCAGCAGCCGGTTTCGAGCCTGGAGCTCCTTCCGCAAGTGGGCCACAGACCTCTGCACATCAAGGATAGACTGCTGATGCTGCAAGAGCTGCTTCCTGCCATTGTGCAGGGACAAGTACGCCTTCTTCAAGTAATGGATCTCCCTCTGAAGTTCCAGAGAAGAAAAATTCCAGTTAGGACAAGCAGCTTAGCAGGGAGGAGACATCTAGGGGCCTTTGCCTTTCATGATGCTTATCCCTCCTCTTCCCTCCACAGGCCTTTTGCCTGACCCTCCTTGCTCAGCCTCTTAGCTGCTACTTTCCTCTGAATTTGGTCAGGAGGCACCAGATGCAGGAGGGAAGATGGGGTACTTATGTACCAAATGACTTCCATATGGAGTCCCCCCACACACTCCCTCCCCCATCCTTCCTTCCCTCTCTCTCCTTCCCTTCTTCCCTTTCTCTCCTCTCTTCTCTGTCTCTCCCTCCCTCTCTCTTCTCACCTCTCTGTCTCTCATGTATGTGTATGCATGCATGTGTCGTGTGTGTGTGTGTGTGTGTGTGTGTGTGTGTGTTGGCCCCTGCTTCTGTAACATTGCTTTATTATAAAAAGCCCCCCAAGAGCTAGGAAACAGACACTGCTGTTCAGTGGGGACTTGAAGCTCCCAGAGGCTAAGCTACTTGTTGAGGGCCACAGTTAGCAGGAGGCTAAGCTTGGCTTTAGTTTACATCTAGGGATGTAGGGCCATGTGCCACCCTAGATTGTAGTCCTCTGACCATGGGCTCTTCCATGCACCATACAGTTCTAAGCATCACTGGAGGGTGGCAAGAGCTCAAGGTTGTTCTGTGGCACAGGGGTATTCTGATCCCCCAACTGGAAGGGCTGCAGGCCTGCTCCTGTGTGACCATTCCTTGCCCAGGCCTACCCGTTCCTTCTTAAGCCTTCTGAGGGCTTGTTGTTGCTTTTCCCACAGAGTAGCCTGTGCTGCTTCATGTCCCATAAGCCCCAGGCACCTAGGGGAGGGGGGAAAAACACAGTCTTGAGAGCAGGACCAGGACATCTCCAGCAGCCAGGTATACCTAGACATCTCCCAGACACAGAGCAGAGCCTGGGGGCCCCAAGGGGGGGCCTGGGCTGCCACTCTTCCCTCCCACCATGCTTATGATTTCTTATGGTCTAGGGCGTGAAGGCAGAGTCTCCTGCCTGCAAACTGCATCCAGGCAAGGGTTCTCCACTGACACCAAGGACTAATCCACTCTCAGCATCCCGTGCCCAGGGTGGAATTCGACTGTGAATAGAGGAACCCGTGGAGGCCAGCCTCAGCTGTCTCACTGGCGTGGAAGTCCTATGTCTAAGAAATCACTCTAAGGAAAGTTTCTCAATGTTCATAATAGCAAAAAGCTGGACACACACTAAAGGTCTATAATCGGGGACAAGCCAAGGGAGTGTTGGTGACCCGCACTGCCCATGTGTTGGCAGTTACAGTGTGATGTGAGGCTTTGTTACAGGCAGCAGCATGTGAGGCATAAGCCCCCAGCAACACCACAGGACACACTGGGCATACGGCAGGCATCACAGAGACTGGGGCAATGGCTGGGGTTTTTTGTTTGTTTGTTTGTTTTTGTTTTTGTTTGGGACACTTTACTATCTTGCCTCAATTTATACAAATGCCTATCACTGCCTAGATCACTAGAGCCATCGTTCTCCGTCTGTGTTCGGGTGTGGTGGGTGGGGGAGGGGCACACCGACAGGGGCGGAGCAGAACCAGCCGGCAAGCAGGGAGCTCACCCTATCTGATGCTCCAGGCGGGTCAGCTCCGCCCGGGCTTTTTCCTCCAGTGCCAACTCACGCAGTCGCAGCACTGCAGCCTGATGCTGTGCGCGCAGCTCTTCGTCTCTTAGACTCTGCTGCAGCATTGCAATAGTGAAGCGGTGGAAGGTTCTGGACCTTTCCGTTCCTGGCTCTGGTCTCCTTATGCCCCACTGCAGAGAGGCAGACCCACCCGGTCTTGTCACCCCTGGATCCTCTCAAGCAGTCCCAGCTCTCAGGAAGATGCCACAGACTCTAAGAAGTCCTCTTTAAATGCCCACCAGTTTATCCCCCTTTCGGTGCTCCCTCTTGGTAAGGCACCCTTCCTGACTGTAAGCTCCCAGAGGGCAGGCAGGGTCCTCATCATCCTGGACTCACGCCTGCCCCAAGCTAGGCAGGACACTTGTTTATGTCCTGCAGAAATTTTGCAAGGCAGGCTGGACTGTGCATTACCCTGCCCAAAGCTCCCTGTTGTCATCCAGACCCTCAGCTATCACCCAGGGTGGGAGGAACTAGCTGGGGTAGCCAGCTGCAAGGATGAACAATGGGATGGCAGAGTGACCCTCCCAAGACCAGGGTCACTGGGGACCCGCTACCCACCACCAGTATCATGTAGTCTTAAACCATGCTGCGTTCTTTGTACCTTGTAGGTGGGTCTGTCTGAAGGATAGAACTTGGCTAGAGCCAGCTGGGAGCGGACTGGATTCTGCTGCACTGGCTCTGAGAGAGAAAGCAGGCCTTAGTTGGGTCCTGAGGGAACCAGTGACATGTGCTTAGGGCCTTTCCTACACGAGGGCCTCACAAATGGTGTATGACTGAGGCAGGAAAGGCTCACACTTGACCTCAAACACACAGCTTCATACCAGATCTCAAGACAATGTTGGAAGGGACTGGTGGCTTCTTGTTTCCTAAACTGAGGCTGTGAAAGGGGACCCATAGTTGTACCCAGGACCAGGGCAAACACAAGGTGCTCAGGATAACAGCCCTTGCTCTTGAAGAAGGAGATGCTGAGGCCAGATGGGGTCAGGATGTCCTGAGTCCGGCACCAAGCAGGAATAGGGACACTGCAGAGCCCAGACTCCCTGCTAACCTAGCTCCCTTGCTGCTGACCCCTATCCACCACCTTGATATGGTGGGTTTCATAGGGTAGGCTCCCCCCACCCTAGACAGGGTTTTTCTGTGTAATAGCCCTGGCTGTCCTAGAACTCACTTTGTTCAAGGCTGGCCTTGAACTCAAAAAATCTGCCTACCTCTACCTCTCAAGTGCTGGGATTAAAGGCATATGCCACCACATCTGGCTCAAGAAGGCTTTCTAGTTAAAAATAATTAAAAATAATTAAAAGGTATTTTTGACATCCCACCAAGAAAGGACAAAAGGAACTAGACTCACCATCATATATGAAAATATATGTTTTACACAGACATACATACATTTTCACACATATGAAAGAACATTTTTTAGATATCAACAGCCTAGCGCAGTGCTAGACAGAAACAAAGGAGGTAAGACCAACAATGACAACATCCCCAGGGACCTAGGCTTCAGCACAGGGAGGACAAACTAAGGTAGGCACACCCCCAGCAGAGGAGACAGAACGAGTCTGGGGAGACAACCAGGGTTGATGGAATGGTATATTAGAGAAGAAACCACAAAGAGAACCCCATGATTCTATGCTTCTAGTACTCAATATCTCTGATTTTCAAGTGAGAACTGACTGGTTTAGTGTAGGTTAAAAGCATCCACTGGGCTGGAGAGATGGCTCAGTGGTTAAGAGCACTGGCTGTTCTTCAGAGGTCCTGAGTTCAATTCCCAGCACCCATATGGTGGTTCACAACCATCTGTAATGAGATCTGGTGTCCTCCTCTGGTGTGCAGACATACATGCAGACAAAACAGTGTGAACATAATAAGTAAATAGATAGATAAATCTTTAAATAAACAAATAAAAATAAAAGGCATACAGGAGGCTGAGGGTTATGTGCCTCGTGACTCATGGATCACTGGGTAGCACACACACACCATCCTGCCTTGTTTGGGAGGTTTCACAGGCCTCAGCTTTAGTAGTAGTGATCTGGGTCCAACTAGCCAGGTACAGAAAAAAGACCCAAAAGAATCAGAACAAGTCCAGTAACTACATCCGAGGACCAAGCTTAAGATGTGTATACAGAGACTGCAGACTGCTTAGTTCTAAATGGAACAGCTCACAAAAGAGGGGCAGGATGAATCCAAAATCCAAGAGCCAGCGGTGGTAGATCACCACGGGAACCAGTGTTTGCTGGATACAACAAGGCAGCTGCACAAATGAGCTCATAGCAATTGAGATCTGTGCAAGCTCAAGCCACACAAAATTCTCCAATAATGGTAGGAGAGGTGGGCAGGAAGTGTAATCATTAGCTGAGTGGCCCTGGACAGTTGATAGCTGCTGAGAAAGGAAGAACTGATTTTCTTTAAAGGTGTGACCCCTGGCAGGCTCACAAGCTCCAAGGAAGGCTTCACACCCAGGAGTATTTGGGGAACACAAATTAGACTCTGTGTGTGTGTGTGTGTGTGTGTGTGTGTGTGTGTGTGTGTGTGTGTGTGAGAGAGAGAGAGAGAGAGAGAGAGAGAGAGAGGTGAGGGAGAGGAGGGGAGGGAATGGAGAATATGAAACTGTGAGAGTGAGTTGGGTGGTTAGGGTAGGTCTGGGTGACTTAGGGGGCTTGAATATGATCAAAAGTAGTTGGAAATTATCAAAGAATTAATAAAATACTATTTTCTTTAAATAATCATGTATAGAAACAAACTATCTTCCACCGAGTAAAGTCCACTACACTCAGCAGTTAGCACAACAGCAGGGAGTCATCAACTAAAACCAGCCCAGAGATGCACACCTCAAGTTTTCATAACTGGCAAGATGGCTCAGCCGATACAGAAGCTGTCACCAAGCCTGACAATCTGAGTTCAATATCCAGGACTCCAATGGTGGGAAGAGGGGACCATTCCTGCTTGCTGTCTCCTGACCTCCACATGCATGCCCTGCTACACAAACCCCTCAATAAATAAACAAATATAAAATTTTAAACAGAAAGCAACTTTTCAGGCAGTGATAGCACATGCACTTAGGAGGCAGAAGAAGGTGGATCTCAGTGAGTTCTAGGCCAGCGTGGTCTACAAAATGAGTTCCAGGACAGCCAGGACTGCTACACAGAGAAATCCTTTCTCAAAAACAAAAAAACAAAACAAAACAAAAAAAATAGTTTAACTGTATTTTTATGTTTAAAAGGCTAAGTACTCTTTGCTGGAGAAATAGCTTGGTGTTAAGAGCACTGGCTGCTCTTTTAGAAGACTTGGGTTGTATCCCCAGAATCTACAAGGCAGCTCATAACAGTCTGTAATTCCAGTTCCAGGAAATCTGATGCCTCCTTTTGGCCTCTGTAGATACCACGTAGTGCACACAAGTGGTACACAAACATACATGTAGGCATGTAGACACCCATACACATAAAATAACAATAAATAAATAAATAAATAAATAAATAAATGAGTAAGTACAACTATAGTGGAAACAATCAAAAGTCTACAAATATATTTTATGGCCACCAGAAGTGGACAGAGGGGCCAAGCTTTCCAGGCAAGTGGCTGTGTCAGGATGGGGGTGAAGCTGTAGGCTAGTGTGACTAGCTCCTTGAAGCTAAAAACTCATCTGGGAATCTTTACAGCACTGCCTTTACCCTTGTTCTATCCCTAACCTGCCAGCACATCACACGGGGCACTCACCTGCAGAAAATGCCCTTGCTTCCTCAGGACGCTTCAAGGACCCCATGTTGTCTCTCTGCAGGGTGGGTGGTGATCTGAAACCACCAGAGACCACTGTCATTGCCAGCACCTGACACCTGAACTTAAGCCTGCCCTCCTCTACCCTGTGGGGTGGCATCTGGTCCAAGCCTTGGCCTCACCTGGATCTGGCTGTCATTGTGTTAAGAGGGAGTGTGCTTGACTTTAGGTCACTGCACGTCTGCTGCTGTCCCAGCCTCAAAACCTTTTCTGGCTTTTGCTGGGCTGCAGATTTCTCCATCTGCTGCTGTGAGGAAACAGTCTGATGTTGCAGAAAGCAGGAGAGGAGATTTCACGGCCAGCCAGGCCAGGCTGGACCTCAGGATCATGCAAGAGAGACATACTGGGGTTTATATATCTCACATCCCACAGGTCATAAGCTCTGGGCTCCAACAGAGATCCTGCTGCTCAATGCCTTATAGGCCACAGACTGGGATGAGTCTAAGGTAAAGACCCCTATCAGTGACCCAGCTCTGGGACCAGCCATGGGCACCCCAGAACATAAGAGGCCAAAGCATCCAATCCCTTCAAAAAAGTCCACGGCCCCCAGTTCATGTGGCTCTGTGCTCCCTCTTAGACTGGTGACGTCTCTCTGTATCCATGGGGTATTACCCACTTTAGAAGGACCTCAGGCTGGGTGGGCTGGAAGGGACACTGGGCAGGGGTGGCACACCAGTTAACGCCTTAGAAGGGGTATCCCGCTGACCTTCAGCTGGTGTTTGAAGAGAAGTTCATCCAATGCCATCTGCGTCTCCCATACCTCCTGCTCTGCCCGCTGCCGCAGAAGGGCCAGCGCCTGCTCCTGCTTCTGCTGGTCCAGCTGTCATGAGAGCCCATACCCCAGGGTTCACCTGTGTCTTGCTGGCAACAGGCTATGAGGATCACCCTGGTAGATCCCATGCCTGGGCAGGGCCTGTTCCTTTTAGCAACCAACTACTCTTTCTACCTGGGACTTCCCTATCCAGGTTGAGGAACAGGGGTGAGGGCTGCCTCTTAACCCTCAGTTCTGTGTTTTGGAGACTTCTATTCAGCATTGGGGGCAAGGGCTTCTCACAGCTAATTTCCAAACAGAAGCCTAAAGGGGACACAGCTGTCACTGGCCTACATAGGGCAGGACATACCTTCAGTGACTTGACAAAGCTCAAGGATTTCATCTGGAAATTGGTCAGGTGCCCTCCATGCAGGCCTCCAGAATGTGGCCCCTTGGGCTCCTGCTGACCTGCAGACCACGGAGGAGGGCACCTGAGTGGCAGGTATGCTCTGAGCCTCTCTCCTGGTTGAGCCTCAGCGCTCACAGCTTCTTGGCCTGCAAGGAAACTGAGGCCAGCGGCCGGGAGGGAAGGCCCACAACGCAAGCACTGTGCCGGTACCCAGCACTTCAAGAAGGTCCCCTTCCCTGCAGCCCTTTGGGAGAGCACGGCTGCCATGTGTCTGTCTTCCCTCCCTCAAGTTCGTTGTTCTCTCTCTGGCCACCATTCATTCCAGAAGCAAAAATCAGGTTAGCAAAGGTGACAGGAGCCACCAGAAGGACCCAGGTCCCAGTATCAGCTCTGGCCTACACTTTCTAGATGACCCTGAACAAATTGCTGGCCAACCAGAGCCTCTGGGGGAAGCACCACAGTTGTTGCCAATGGTGTTCAGGTGGGTATGTGCTACAGAGAGGTGAGTTGAGGTGCTCCATGTAATTCTGGGGTGCTCCCCCTTAGGTTACAAAATCCCTGAGCGTAGCTGAGGGGCTTCTTTTCTTTCTGATGCTTCCCCAGAGTCAAGGCTCTGCACACTGTTGGTGTTCCCTGCCCTGTGGGGAAGAGCTGAGTCTAAGGCTTGGCTGTGTCCCCTCCTGACCCAGCCTTAACCTCAGCCTCATTTTTTCTATGAGTTAGCTGTTAGGGGAGGGCTCAGGATGTTTGGCTTGAACCCTCTGGCCTGAACGAGAGGGCCTTCCTGATGGTCTTGGATAACTGTCAGCCACTGGCTGGTCATGATACAGAATGCCAGTCCTCTGCCCAAGGAGAACCATCTTCCCTGGCAGACTGCATAGACAGAGAAGCTCAGGGACTTGGAGTGGAAGCATACGTAAAGCTGTGAACAGAAGCTACATAGTCCATGGGCATTACCAATGGAAAAAAAAAAACAACAACAACAACAACAAAAAGACCAGGGGTTAGCAGGATGCATCCGCAGGACATACAGAGCAATCGGGTACTCCTGGAGTGTCCCATATAATTGGGCACAACTCTTGGGCTAACTGTGCTCCTTTGCAGGAGATGAGGCTTCACTACTGTGTCCAAGCCCACGAGGAGACTGAGGATGAAGCAGGTCCTCGTACTCTGCCACCCTTCCACAGCCTCTAAATATTGCAGCCCAAAGCCTCTGACCCATGCGTCTGAGGGGATAGCTCCTGGTCCTCTAGGCCATGTCAGCACCCCCAAAGATCACAGGCTGCATGTCCCTGAGCACTGATCTGTAACCCAAAAGAAAACTAGATCAGCCCCCAACTGGGATCACCACACACAGTGAATGACCCTGTCTTAATCCCTAACTCCTTTCAAAAGATAGTTAGGGAGGAGCCCCCAGAATTCAGCACCCCATAGCCAGTGCTGTGGGCCCCAGGGTGATGGCCTCATGAGGGCCCAGCGGCTACAGCCTGCAGGTTGATGAAGGAAGGGTGATGACTTAGGCTGTGCTTAGGCTGTGTGGTTCCTCTGCCCCCAGGGCAGACCTGCTAAGACAGAGAGTACAGCTTCGCTTCCAGAAAAGCAGCAAAGGGCACACTTGGTACATTTAGAAGAGAAAAATGGGAACCCAAGTCTGACCTCAAAACCCTTGTATTAAAAAAGAAAAATCCTGGGTGTGGTGGCATGCCCATGTAATCCCAGTGTTGCAGAGATGAAGAAAGGCAAAGCCTGGGCTCACCAGACAGCCAACCTAGCCTGTGTATTGAGTTCCAGCCAGTGAGAGACTCTGTCTCAAAAAGCAAGGTAGGGGTATCTGAGGAATATTACTCAAGGTTGTCTTCTGGCCTCTAAACATGTATGCTCACATGTGAGCGTGAACACACACATGCACACACACACTCTGCAAAAATGTTACATCTTCTGTTCCCACTTCATCACAGCCCCAGGTCTTGACAGTCACATATGTCTGACAGCTACCACATATCCCTCATTAACAAACATTCCACTGAGTAGGGACGTCTAGGTGTTGAAGTCCAGAAAGTTTCACTGGACAGTGCTGCTCGTATATGCTAGTGGCTAGAAATGGAGGCTTCCCTCTCACTGCTGTTCCTGTGACCTACCTACCAGCACTTCTGCTCAGGGAATGGTGAATGAGGCTGAGGGATAAGACAGGGTGCCCCCGCCACACACACGTGTAAGGGAAGGACCACACCCTTGGAGGAGATGGCCATCTTGTGATCAGGAATTGCTCTTGACTCTCACACAACAGCAGACCTGCCCAGCCAGGGATGGGCAGAGCCCAGGGCATTCTGGGAGTCTCACTGACTCTCTCTGGAGTACACTTTCTGTGGAGAGATGGGGCTTTCCTCTGGTTTAAATGCCCCTTCTCAAATTCATGTAGACATTTAGTAGCCATGGTAACAGGGCTAGGAGGTAAAGCTTCTGAACGGTGAAGACTTATCTCTAGAGTGGTAAAGCCTTACCGCTAAAGCCAGGAATGGGCTTATTATAAAGGGCGGGGGGGCTTGTGTGTGAGGGTAGTGCATTAGATGTTTGCCTTGGGTTCTTCTCTAGTACCCTATAAACAGGGTCTGGTGGCACAAACCTGTAATCCCATCTCTTGGGAAAGAGGCAGGAGAGTCAGAAGTTCAAGGCCATCTTTGTCTACATAGTGGGTTAAATAAAGTCTACACTGTCTCAGAAAAGAAATGAACACCAATGGGAGGGTTTGGCTCTGTGGCCTTCTGCTGTAATGGGGTAACAGAAGGCTGGGCAGTGCTGCTAACTTCCCACCTTCTGAACTGTGAGCCCACACCTTCCTGTGTGCTGCTATCAGCAGCCGCTCAGGGACAGGCTGGAGACCCACCTAATACTGTCAACTTGGCAGGCTCTGGAGTCATCCAGGAGACAAGCCTCTGGGCAAATCTGTGGGGTTTCTCCAGAGTAGACTAACTGAGGTGAGAAGACCCACCTTGACTGTGAGTCACAATATCCCATGGGCTGAGGTTCTGCACGGAGCACCAGCATCCGATACTTTCTGCTTCCTCCCTGCTGATGCTATGTGACCTGCTGCCTCGAGCTCCTGCTGCCTGGCTCTCCACTATGATAGTCTCTCCCTTTGATACCCTTATCTCCCTTGGGTTTAATTCTAGTCCAGGTGAGTAACTAAAAAACCAGCCAGGGCCTTCGCTGGCTGAGGATCTCCACGAATGCCCCTCATCTCCTGGTGCCCCTAAAATGTAGATTTTGCTGGGATAGAGACTCGAGCTCTGATGACTGTCAAGTATGATGTCATGCTTAGTCAATGTGGCAGGAGTAATAGGTCCATGGACAACTGAGATGTTGTTGTAGCCCTGGAGCCTAGGAGAGTTGGCAGCTGTTGCCTGAAACCCCCAGATAGCCTACTCTAAGGGAGAGTGTCCCCCGAGTCAGAGGCCAGGAACCCCCATGTGCTGGTTCTCACATAGCACAGTTGGTGGCCCCTCAACTCTCTCTCTTCTCTCTCTCTCTCTCAGCTCACACCTACCAGGTACGTGCATGGCTCTGAGCCCAGTCGGACATTCCCACCCACCTGGCTGGCTCTATCCTGGAGGGAAAAGCCTGGGCCTTTCTGAGGCCTTGATGCCTATCCTGGGCTACTCTGTCTGGTTGAGGGATCTGAGCAGAGCTAAGGGTCACATTTGCTCTAATGTTTCTCCAAACCAGGCGTATCACTTTATTGCTGTTTGGTTTGGTTTCATTGTGCAGTATTAGGGGTGAACCCATAGTCTCATACGTGCTAAGCAAGCACTATGCTTGAGCTATATCCCCAGCACTGTTTCCGAATTGCGTGTGTGTGTTTATTATTGTCTTTGCTTTGTTGTTATTTATTTGTCTCACTGTGTATCCCAGGCAGCCCTGGAACTTTGTATTTCCCAGGCTGGCCTTAAATTTGTGACCCTCTTCCCTTAGCCTCCTAAGTGCTGGCCTTACATACAGAATACCTTTCTACCATATTCAAAACCTGTTTTCTGAGGAAAATAAGCAAATAGTAATGAAACAGTGAACAGAGTCCCAGGCTTGTTCAAACCTGGTACCTATCTCCTTGCCATGCTGGGCAGGAAGCCTCCCCCCCCCCTGCAGCCTATAGATCACTAGTGAGATGTACCCCGAGGGCAGGCAGCCTCCCCCAGAGATTCTGTGACTTCTGGGGTCAGCAAGAGCATGCCTCATACCCCCTCCAGGTGCCGGCTCTTCAGCCCTGAGTGTCCTTAGCTGAAACCTAGGAACAAGGACACTTAAGTACCAAAGAAAAGGTAGAAACTGGGCTGACAGAAATAAGGATGGAAAGAAGGGTGACACTACTGGGCGGCAGGAGTGAGGCTATTCTGGAGACCAGCGATGAATATATCACAACAGGCACAACAGGAGCAGAGTAGGCAGTAGGGGCTGGAGAGCCTCAAAACACTTTAATACTGGCATGTGGCTGCCGTCCACATAGATAAAGGCCTCTACCCTGCAAGACCAAGCTCAAGCTAGGCAGTGGAAGAGGCCCATGGGAGGTCCCCCTGGCCACCCGACCAGCCAGCCCAGGGCCTATCTGCAGGCTCGCCCTTACCGCAGCTATGGGTGGTCCAGGGCGTTACCAAGCCTGCCTTTTTGGCTTCTGGTATCTCCTCCTGCCAAAGGGAGCCACAGGTGGGGTCTGGGGCAGCTGGCACCCCAAGTGAGCTAGAAGACAATGAGTATATGATGAGTGAAGTCAGGATCAGGATCGGGATAAAGGAGGAGTGGAAGTACTCTAACTCAGCAGGAATCTGGGCTCACATGGCCCCCAGTAGCCCTAAGACCCAGGCAGTGTGATTAGAGACAGACCTGAGGGCTTAAGGTCTGGTCACAATGCGTGTGTGTGTGTGTGTGTGTGTGTGTGTGTGTGTGTGTGTGTGTGTATAGCAGCCCAGCTAGCGCAGTGTTAGCTCCAGCACCACCAGCCCCGTGTGCCAATGCAACTATCCTCGGTCATCCCTGTTGACTGATAAGGACACCACCCACAAGGCTATGTGGAATGAGGTGACACCTCACAATCCCACCTCATGGCTCTGCATTATAGCTGTGTGTGTGATGTAGCGCTGGGCCGCCAGGGAGAGGTACAGCCACACAAAGGACCCTAATTCTTTATGGTCTCAGGCAGCTGCCTCCCTTGGACAGGAAGGGCTGTGGCCTTCACCCAGGTCAAAGCAGCCACAGTGGGCAGCAAGCTGCCTGGTCCAGGTGGGTATGCAGCAGCTGCAGGGATTAGAAGGCTTTGAAGCTCCACTGAGGATGAGTATGTAAATTAGTCGGTGTGGGCGGTGAACACAGCCTCAGCTCATTCTACCTTTTCCCCGGGGCACCATCTGTCCCTGGCACAGAGTGACCTGGACTCCACCTGAATCACCAAATAAGTCACCCATGCCTGGGTCCAGCAGCCCTGGAAGCCCACAGGTCTCTGTCTCCATCCTTCTTCAGGTTAGGTGCTGTGCAAGGCTAGGCTATAATATGACCACACCCAACCCCTGCCTGGATGGAGTAAAAGTCTTTCTGAACATACGAACATATGTTAAGGCTGTGAGGCATCATGGGAACACAGACGTAGAAAGAGTTTCCAGAAAGCAGGAGCAATGGGGGTAGAGTTAAATATGGGGCCAAATCCCATGAATAGCTGGCTAGAACCTGAACCCCTAGTGTCCTTAACTGTGAGTGGAGGAGAGGATCCTGCCCAGACTCAGCCTGAGAGGTCCAGGCCCTGGATGGTGCATCTGAGGGGAATAGATGGAAAACCACAGGCCTGGAGAAGGAAGGCTAACTTTGATATTCAAAAGTAAACTGGCAAGTGGCTGTGGCCTACCACCTAGAGAGACCAGCAAGCCTCCTCCCTCATTAGCTGAGAAAAATCTCAGAGCAATGCTGCCCCCTACTGGCCATTATGAGTCAATGACGACACAGGCCTTACCACCCAGGAAACATCAAATCCATCAAAAAGTTCATTAGAGGAGGAATGGGTTTCCTTGTGAGGTGGCAGGGGAGGCGTCTGGAAAGAAGTGTCCCAGCTCCAGGAGGAGCAAAGGTAGGGGACTGAGGAGGTTACATAGCCTTCTCCTGTAGCTGAATGCACTTGGCAGCCCTCTGCTGGGGAGGAGAGGAAGTATGAGCTTGCTCAAGATAAACAGACCTAAGATTTGACATAAATCCTGCTGTCCCGGCCCCCCTGCCCCTGCTCAGGGTTGGGCCAGAAGTGGAGAAGCATCCACCCTTTGGCTTGCATGACATGGCTACCTTAACCACAGCCCCTTCACAGTCTGTTCTCCCTGCTCTGAGTAAGTGGCGTCTGCTCTCACGCCTGGCCATGCACCGCCTCTCCTCCTACGAGAGGGGCTGTCCTCTAAGATAACTAACCAGCTGCCAATTGGAAGACAGCTCAGGCTGTGGTTAGCAGGATAACCTGTGCCTGGGGACCAAGCTGAGGTCCGAGGTTATTCTAGTGAACTCTGTCAGGTGTAGACACAGGGCCTTGTGGTAGGGGCCTCCCAGCCTACTCCAGAACGTGCACCCTCTGTCCCTTCCAGCCACGACTCCACAGAGAGGCTGTACAGGCTGCAATTACCTGCCTAGGGTGCTGCAATCTAAGGGCAGCAAAGTGAGAAGGACATGGGTTGGTCCCTCTGGGGGAGGTCACATGGCACAAAGAGTTACAAGAAAGAGGCCTGGGGAAGGGGTCTTGGGAACCCCAGAGCTTCTAATGCTGGAGGAGGCCCAGGTGAGAGAACAGTAGGCAGGTGAGGGGAGGTGTCTGGGAGGCAGAGGAAATTTTCAGGAGAGGTGACCAAGCATACTTCCAAGTTCTGGAAAGGACAGAAACCATAGCTGCAGATACAGGAAGCCATTAGCTTTCTGGTGGGCAATTGCTGAGAGTGAGATGAAGAGTCCCTACAGGACAAAAGCCTCCTGGGTGGGGATCACTAAGGGCTGAGTGTGATGGGGGCAGAATGGGCCTTCTGTGAACAGGAAGGAAGCGGGATGAGATGGATGTGAGGGTCATGAAAACTACAGAAGGGACATCATAAGCTCCTGTGTGGACTGCACAGAGAAAAGGCTGGGGCCAGGGCTAGGGACAAAGGCCAGAAGAAGGTACAGGCACAAGTCCTGAGAGCTCCTGGGTCAGTGAACCCAGACAGGCTGACGAACCCTGTGTCAATGTCCTCAGACAGTCAGCCTACAGGCATCAATGACGAAAAGCTAAGACGAAAGCATCTCCCATGGACTACGGGCCACTGGTGAGTGTGTCTCTCTGACCAGTGAGCAGCTGAGGTCAGAGGTAAATCAGATGTGTGAGGTGGACCAGTGTCAGAGTCAGCACAACCCATGTCACTCTCCACCTGGCCTGATGCACCCAGATTCCTAGCGGTGGGCCCCGGGCTAACACGAGGACCCTCCACAGGGGACGTGACAGGCACACATAATGGCCACAGCACAACAAACTAGACTCACCTCCTCATGCAGGCACCGAGGGCCTGGAGGGTAGCCATCTCTCTCTGTAGCTTCTTCTCCAGCTCCCAGTGTCTCTCCTCTGTGGCACCTTTGGAAAGGGCACCATGACTTGATGAGCCAGCAGGGCAAGGTTGAGTATGAGGGATGACCTGAGACACTGAGGCAGGGGTACCGTATACAGAACCTGCAGAGTGTGGAGGCCTTGCTGGCCTTCTTGCCCCTAGGGAAGGTAGGGCAGGTAGGCAGCAGGCTTTGGGAAGAACCTCACCCCTACCCCAACATGGGATGAGACAACTATGTCCTGTGCTATATGTCACTCAGGGAACTTCAGCTATTGTCACTACTCTCATTAGCAACTCCCATCCTGCTCTCCAGACAGGAAAAGGAATGGAGCCCTGTTGTTCCCAGCCCAAGGATCACCCAGCAGGCATGACACCCACTGCCCAGCCCCACCTTGGGGCTGGTTCTCACTGTGGGTCCCCAGGTTCAAGCTCTGTGGCTCCCGGCTGGGTCTCCATGGTAGCATCTCACCGTCCTGGAAGTAGGTCCTGGGGAGAAGGGGCTTGCACTGCATGTCTGCCCAGTCCTGGGAAGTTCCTCTGCCTCCATCAGACACTAAACTTCTGAGGTGAGAGGGAGGAGAGAGAGTGGGGGTGACAGGCGCTGTGCTGGGGCCAAAGGGCAGCACGTCCGAGGCCAGGTCACCAGCTGTGTCAGGCGATGTCGACTTGTGCAGCTTGGTGGTTAGGATGTCAATACGCTGCTTGAGGACATCGGCCATGGTCTCCAGTGCCTGCAGCCGGGCTTGCTTGTACTGGAAGTGCAGGAGGCCCGATGGGCCCAGATGCTCAGTGTCCTGGGGATCCATGTAGATGCACAGCCCCCCGGACATGTCCTGAAGCTTCCTGGGGTCAGGGGAGGAAGTCGTAGATGGTAGCAGAGGGTTATCACTCACACCGTCCCGGGGGCGTCCACTGTCCTGGGTCTCAGCATGGTTCCATGGTTTGTTCAAACACAGACAGAAGCTGCAAGGAGAGAAGAGTGGTTGGATGCTCAGCCTCAGCAACATTGTATGTGCAAAACACATGTGAGCGAAGCAAGGAGGGACAATGAGGGCATCTGTGACAGAGTCAGGTTCACTGCAGACCGGAGGTCAAGGCTAGGACATCACATGTCAGACCACACTTGAGGAGCAAGTGTACAGAGACACATGATGGCAGGACGGTCAGATGCTGCAGCCCCTGGGAAATAGTCTGGTGAGTCTTCACAAATCAAATACCAAATTAACACAATCACCAGCAAGGGGTTTTACCAGAAGTACCAGAAGCCAGGGTGTGAACAGATGTCTGCATACCATGTTCACCATAGCAACGCTCCCAACAAACAAACAAGTGAGGTCCACCATGGACTGGCAACATGAAGCCCATCCACAAAATGGGATGTTTCTCAGCTTTAAGCAAGGAGAGAATGGTCACTACTCTACACCAGGGATGAACCTCAAAGACACCAAGCTAAGCGCCATCCACCACAAAAGAACAAGTCTGATTCTCCATGTCTGAGTTCACCTAGGCCATCAGATCCAGAGAGGCAGGTGATGCCAGGGACTGTCAGGGTCTTCTAGGTTGGTGTCAATGGGGACAGAGGATCTACTAGGAAAGAGGAGAAGGTTCCGAGCATGGATGGAGGTGATGACTGCACAGTAATACCAATGAACTCCACTGGCGGTGTGCCTAAAAACCGTCAAGCCACACATGGTGATGCATGTCTGCAACCTCAGCACCCTGAGAGGCTGAAGCAAGAGGACTGTGAATCTAAGACTACATAGTGAGTCCCTCTCCTGAAAAACAGAACAAATGCTCGTGTGACGTTGCATGTCTTTATCCCTCCTAGCATGTGGGAAGCAGAGGCAAGATTATCTCTGTGAGTTCTAGGCCAGCAAGTTCTACACAATGAGACACTGTCTCCAAACAAAAACAATTTAAAAAAGAAAAAAGAAAGAAAGAAAGAAAGCTAATCAAAACAAAAAAGAAGTTAGGTGGTGGCACAGACCTGAAAAAAAAAATACCCAATTTCTTAGGAGGCTGAGGCAGGAAGATCAGAGTTTAATACTAGCTGGGTAACTTAGTGAGACCCTGCCTCAAAATAAAAGGCTGTTTTGGTTTGTTTGTTGCTGTTTTAAAAGGCTGAGGGGGGGGTAAATACCTATAATCCCAGCACTCAGGAGACAAAGGCAGGTGGATCTTTGGGAATTTGAGGCCAGCCAGGGCATAATAAGATCCCACCATAGATAGATAGATAGATAGATAGATAGATAGATAGATAGATAGATAGATAGATAGATAGATAGATAAATGCTAGGGTGTAGCTCAGTGGTAGAGGGTTTGCCCAACAGGTGTGAAACTCTGGGTTCAATTCCCAACACAGAAGACAGGAGGGCGTGTGAGACACCAGTGGGAAGAAGCTGATCAATTGGACTGTAGTTGAAGTTATTCTAACCGCCCTTAATAATAACATACTGTAAAACGCCAAAAAATCTCGGAAGAAAGGGTGTTAAATATGTTTTATCATACAGAAATGATGTTTGGAGATGGATGCATTTAACCTAATTTAAATATCATGCAATGTGTGCATGTATCAAAACACCACATGTACCCCATCCATCCATATGTACAATTTTTATATTTTTATGTATCAGTTAAACATAAACTTAAAACAAAATCCAGATGGATTGGGATTTAAAAAATGGTTATCATTGTAAATGTTATGCTGTGTGTATTTTAGCATAGTTTTTAAAAGCAGGAATAAAAAAGGGCCAGGATGAAGTAGAGGGAGATAAGTCTACAGCTTCCCACAGTGACGGGGACACCCCTCTAAGACTTTAGGAAGTTGGAGGAGCCATGCAGACTGCTGAGGGCTCCTGGGTGTGGTAACTGGTTGGATCTGAGTCCTCCTCTGTTCAGAACTAGAGGCTGCTTTAAAAATTCACAGACACAGGCATCTAAAGCTGCCCTTCAGACATGATATCTCAGGATACAGCCAGGGAAAGATTAGGCAGAAGAAAGAAGAGAGTTGGAGAGAGGAGCCAGAGGGGGAGGAGAGTGTCCATCCCATCTGGCCAAAGGTATATATAGAAGGGTAGGACCAGGGACCAAGGAGATCAGCTCAAAGTTCCTCCAACACTGACGGCACAAATATGCCCACCAATGTCCCTTGTACCTGCTCCTTCTCACCTTCCTGTACTGGCCATGAGGAATACCTTAGCCAGTGGCCAGAATGAAGCCAGGCCACGGAGTGGCTGGCAAGAACCAGAGGTGGAGGGGGAAAAGAGCTGTCCTGTTTTGGTTGGTTGGTTCAAATCCCAGCACCCACATGGGGCATCTCACAACTGTCGGTAACTCCAGTTCTAGGATCCAACATCATTATACAGGCATACGTGTAGGCATATAAATAAATAAGTAAATGGAAGGGGAAAAAAGTTTTCAGCACTTGGGAGACAGAGGCAGGCAGATCTCTGTGAGTTCAAGGCCCATTGGGTCTACAAAGTGAGTTCCAGGACAGCCAGGACTGTTAGACAGAGAAACCTTGTCTTGGAGAAAAAAAAAAAAACATGAAACAAACAAAAAGGTTGTTCTGTAGAGAGAGCGGAATCAGCAACATGCCTGTCATATAAGCATGGATTTAATAATCTCCAGAATCCACATTTAAAAAAGCAACCCAGATGTGTTGGTACATATTTGTAATCTCAATGCCAGGAGAGCAGAGGCAGGACAATTCCTGGAGCCCACTGACCAGCCAGCCTACTCTAAACAGCAAGACACAGGTCCCAGTGAGAGACCCTGTCTCAAATACCCAAGGTGGATATCTCCTGAGAACCAGTATCTGAGGTCACACCAACACACATCAACATGTGAAACTGTATACACACAAAGTACATTTATATGTGTGCACACACATATGCACAGTGACTTTCTCATCTCAGCAAAACACAGTAGTGTCTCTGCTCTGCAAACCACTGGGTTGCCATGGCCAGGAGAAGCAAAGTCCCCCAAGGAGCCACACTGTTATAAGCAATGCGCAGAGAACCCCCAGAGTTCATCCTACCCTCCTCTACTCTGAGCTCCCTGTATTTTTTGCCCAGGAAGAGCATCCCTGCCCCCCTCACCTACCTGTCTGAAGCCTCTTGGTCCCCAAGCACCATGCCAGATGTCACCTTGCTCCACTTCTGCAGTGGTGACCCCAGACTCCCGGGGGCTTCCAGGCCCTAAAGCAGAGAAGGCACGTAAGACCCACAACTTCATTTCAGTTCAGAGTTGGGCTCCAGCTCTGCCTGGGACTTCACCCTAGACTCTCAGAGCTAATCAAAGCATTAGGCCCCTCTAGCCCTGTTGTCATCCTATGGAGACAGTGTGTAGGAACTCCCCCAAACAACCTCACAGGAACCAAGTTCAACTAGGAACATTCCCCAACATTGCCACCATTCTAGTCAGGGACAAAAGTGCCCCATGTCTAGCCTCTTCTCTCTGGCATGGTCTCTGTTCCAGATAAATGACTGCAAGCAGCCCAGAGCCAATGCCATCTCATCCTCTGGGCCCAGTGGCACCCAACCACCCACCTGTTGATGGGCAGTAGCAGGCAGGGGTAGCAAAGGGCCATAGGCTCAAAGCCTGGGCTAATCCCCTTCTTGTCACCCACCCAGTACATACCTCAGACTGTACGGAACTGGGAACAAAGGTGACGATGCCAGGGCTCCTCTGGGAGACCACAGGGACAGCCTTGCCAAGGATGGCCTCTCGCTGCTTCCGGTATACCTCCTGCAGTCTCTGATTCCGCAGCTCGAGTGCATGTGTGGCCAAGGCCTTCTGTTCCATGGCCTGCTGCCGCCAGGCCTGGGCCTTCTGACGCATGAAGTCATGCAAGGACTCAGAGCTGTGTGACTGGCCCAGAGATTGCTGCAACCTTGGACAGCGTGGGATTTCCTGTGTGTCCTGCTCCTTTGCTGGTTTGCTATGAGTAAAGCCCTGGGCAGGCTCTGGCCAAGCTGGCTTGGCTTTTGAGGGAGGAGGGCCAACAACACTTTTGCCTTTGCTGTAGGAACTGGGCCTCTGCACACAAGAACTATTCCAGGGCTGATGCGGAGCAGGATGTGGCCTAGCCACAGAGCTCCATGGACTGGACCTGGGAGCCTCCCAGTCTTTACAAGCTGTGGAAATCCCCTGTGAATAAGCCTGACCAGCCAGAGCACTCCAGGGTCTCTGTGAGAAGGGGCTTGGCTTTTTAGGGAGGCTCGCAGACCTCTGGAAGGAGGTGTCCTGTCCCTGAGCTTCCCAAACCCTCTGTGGACATGTCTGCCAAGCCTGGGCACTCCAGGGCCGCTGTGAGAAAGAACTTGGCTTTTCTGGGGTGCTTCCAGGCCTTTGGAAGGAGGTGTCTTGCCCCTGTGCTGTCCAGGCCCTCTGTGGACAAGACTCCCACTCAGTCACGGCTTTCTTCCAGTGTTGCTGACTGTTCAAGTTTCCGTCCCTGTCCAAGGAAGAGGACCTTTCTCCTGTCGCCATCCAAGCACTCTTTGGGAAGGAGCTCTGCATGTCCCAGGTGCTTTGGGGTCCCTGCTGCCTGCTCCCTGCCAGGGTCTGTGGCTTTGGTTTTGATGATGAGAGCTTCCTTGCCACCCTGGGGCGCCTGGCAAGCTCCAGACCAGCCTGGATTTGCTGGCGCAGGTCTTGTAGCATCTCCATGGCACCTTGGATAGTTGTTGACTGATCGCGGAGAGCTGAGCTCAGTGTGTGCTCAGAAGCCTGCTGGTCACTGAAGGCACAGGTAGGCTTAGACAACCAGGTGTGGGCAGATGAGTTCCCAACAGTTGCTTTCTTAAAGCCTGCAAAGACAGGCAATGAAGGAGTGTTGGGGTCTGTGGCCTGTAGGAAAATACAGACCTGCTCCTCCATTCGGGGGCATCATGGGGTGACCAGAGAGGCCCCGGCCCCACAAACTCCCTCTCAGCCTCGGCCCTCACATCAGCACACAGGAGTGCAGCTGCTTTTGAGTGAGCCACTAGCTCCTCATGTGCTGACCGAGTGCACGCGGAGCAGAGCGGCAGCAGGTATCCCCCACAGGAGTGGCCGTTCCCATCTGCTCTCTTCACAAAACCCCAAGTTGTACATGTGCTGCCAAAGCTGAGAAGAGCCTCTCTCTTCAGGTTTGGAAAGGTAGTTATTTCCAAATTTCCATCTCTGAGGGAAATCTCAAGAGGCTGCCCAGCTACCCCCCCCCCCACCAGGCAGCACATGTATTTCCTCTGTGCCCACCCACTAATGCCACAGCAAAACACACCAGGCTAAGGCTGAGTGAGGCATGAGATACCTAAGTCCGTGGCAGGGGGCTTGCTCTGGAGCCGGGAGAGGGTAGGAGGGGGCCCAAGCAGCCGCCTCACCAGGGCTTGTCCTTTTCTCCAGGCGTAAACACCAGCCAACTCAGAATCTTAAATAGAAAACATACAGCTGGACCATGGCCCTCAGACCACTGGCAAAGATTCATACTGGAGACAACTTGCATACCCTGCAAGGGCTCATAGGAAAACCCCTCACATTCAAACCCCTGTGGAAACAAAGCCAGATGTTTAGTCACTAGCCAGCATGGGTGAGGGGCATTTCCGGGTACTTCATGGTGAACCCCCAGGATCCTGCTAATTAGAGAAGGTAATAAAAACTGCACCAACAGCTCTACCCATGAGTCATTCAACACAGCTCAGGCACACAGCCCACACTTGACCAGGGACAATGACAAGGCTTTTGCCTCAGATGACACCTGCCGCTGGCCACTCAGTCAGGAGCTCATGCCAGGGCCACTATGGCAGCAATGTCACAACCACACACCTTAGCTGAGGGATTAATGTGCTCTGAAGTTGCTCAGAGTCACAGGAGTGAGACTGGGATGGTTTTAGGCCTCCTAAATGGTACAGAAATAAATGACCAGAAGCTGAGCTCCCCCTGACAGACACTGTCATATGATAAATATGTCCATTCAACAACCTCAGATTGCCTCTACCAATGACAACACTGACTGGCCATCATGACAGCCCCAGTCACAGGGCCCCACAAAAAACGGAAAGCATGCCTTTCACCAAAACCCATCTATACACCCATTCCCACGTGCTCACAAGGCTCATTCTTACACACTCACAAGGTATAGTGCAGTTTCACACAGACTCACATACAGGCTTACACAGGTTCACATGCTCTGTGGAAGACAATTGTGAACTTACTGTGCATGTGCAGGGCACAGAATGTTCTTCCTTACCAGGTGGTGGTAGCACATGCCTTTAGTCCCAGCACTCAGGAGGCAGAGGCAGGTGGATCTTTGTGAGTTTGAGGCCAGCCTGGTCTGTAGAGTGAGCTCCAGGACAGCCAGGACTGTTACATTGAGAAACCCTGTCTCCACAAACAAACAAAACAAGAACAAAAGAATGTTCTTTCTACAGAGATAATGTGGACATGCCAGGTGTTCCCAGCATGTCCTTGCTTTCAAGTGCATTCACCTATCATAGTTTACATAATTCTTTCCAGAAGGCCACCTCATGAGAGAGACATTCTACACTCTGCCCCATCCATAGTTCACAATAAGTTCACAGTTTTCTTACACAGGCTGTCATAATTCTCACACACAGATTCACACATTCACATGCTTATACTCACACATCCACACAGGTTCACAGCTCACATATATCCACATACTCATATGTTCACATGTTCACACACAGGCTCACATACATTCATAGACTCTCAATCACATTAGCATACATACTTACATATTCACACATGCTCATTGCTCAAAAATGCGTGCACACTCATTCATATACACAATCACACACACAAATGCACAAGCAACCATAAACACATGTCTTGGACACTCACATGTGTGCACATGCACATCCACACACAGGCTCTCCTCACACACACATGCTCACACAGACACAGACATACTACTCTGAATCCAGCCAGTTCTGCAAAACTCAGTCCATGTCTGCTGCATTCCCAGCCACTCCACCCATGCTCCTGCTAAAGGTGACAACACTATCTGAGGCTCAGGATCACATCTCTGTGTACTCAGCCAGGACTTGCCCAGTTTCCCCTGGGTATAGCACATTGCCTCTCAGATAATCCAGAGCACCTACCCCTGAGGACAGCCTATCTGAGTCAAGTCCTTCACAGCGCTCCTCCCTCCACTGACCCGACAGTTGTGAATTGAATCAGCAATCTGCCATGGTTTAGAAAAATGAAAAGTCACTTGGGATTGGAGAGGTGGCTCAGTAGTTAAGAGCACTGGCTGCTCTTCCCGAGTCCTGGCTGTGATCCCAGCATCCACATGGCAGCTCACTAACAGAAGTTCCTAAGGGGCTCACACCAACTTCCGGCCTTCTTGGGTACCAGGCATGCAAGTGGTACACAGATATGCATGCAAGCAGAATACCCATAAAAATTTAAAGCAATAAACATTTTTTAATTTAAAAACATTTTGAAAAGTAGTTATATCATGATGGTTGTAAAATATCCACCTATCCAGGCCAAAGAAAAACTAAGCTCTATATTACACAGACTGAGTGATCTCTTCAGCCCAAAAGAACTCTGCTGTGCTGAGCTGCCCCAGGTCACATGATTCTCCAGGCCTGAAACCTTTCCTGGGCAGAGGATGGGTTGTACCCTGTCACACCTTCCTTGGGGACAAGGCTTCCAGACCAGGCTTTCTCTAGGCCCTAGCTGCTTCTTTCTTCTTCTCCTCCTCCTCCTTATTCTTCTTTTTTAATAATTATATATTTGTTTATCATATATACAGTATTCTGCCCACATGTATCCCTGCAGGCCAGAAAGGGGCACCAGATCTTATTATAGATGGTTGCTGGGAATTGAACTCAGAGCACCCAGTACTCTTAACCTCTGAGCCACCTTTCCAGCCCCAGGCCCCAGCTTCTTAAACTGTAGGTCTTGATCCCATCTGGGCCTGCATACTCACAGACACAGACATACTACTCCCTGTCTAGCCAGCTCTGCAAAACTGAAAATGTGGGGGCAGGAAAAAAAATAGCAACAGCATCTGTGGTAGTTTGAATGTAACTGGACCCTATAACCTCATAGGGAGTGACACTATTCAGAGGTGTGGCTTAGTTGGAATAGGTGTAGCCTTGTTGGAAGAAGTGTGTCACTGTAAGGGGTGGGCTCTGAGGCCTCCTATGCTCAAGCTACACATAGTGTGACAGTTTACTTACTGTTGCCTGCACATCAAGATATAGAAATCTGAGCTCCTTCTCCAGCACCATGTCTGCCTGCATGCCACCATGACCCACCATGATAACGGACTGAACTGTAAGCCACCCTAATTAAATGTTTTCCTTTATAAGAGTTGCTGTGGTCATAGTGTCTCTTCACAACAATAGAAACCCTAACTAAGGCAGAAGTTGGTACCAGAGGCTGGGGTATTGCTGTAATAGGCCTGGTGATGCTTTTATTTGTTTGACCTTGGAACTATAGATTAGAAAAGCAGTTGAACACTTTAAGTGCTGACTAATGGGCCATACTAGTAGGAGCATGGAAGACAGTGGTACTGAGTATGATTTGATGAACTTTGGGAGCCTAGCTCAAGAGGTTTCAGAGGAGAAGAATTTTAATGTTGCCTAAAGATCATTCTTGTAATATTTTACCAGGCTCATTTTCACAAAGCTCATTCTTACACACTCACAAGTTATAACTCTCAGTTTCACGCAGACTCACATACAGTCACAGGTTCACGTGCTCTGTGAAAGCCGTGTAAGAAGGCTGTGAAACTCATCCATATAGCACACCCTGAGCACATAGTTACATTGTGCTTTTGCCTTTCCCAAAATGTGTGCCTGAGGCTAAAGTGAAGAGTTTTGGATTAATGGTGTTGGCTAAGGGAATGTCAAAACAGCCTAGTGTAGATTCTGTTGTGTGGTTACTAGTGTTAACTCTAATGAAGATTATAACAAAAAGGAACAAGCTGAGCAAGGAAAAATATAAAATGTACAGACTGAGAAAGGGGGCACCAGGAAGTGGAGTGGAGCTAAACCCTATGCTTGAGGAGATAAACAGATTCAGATGTGGGATAAAGGGAGTGGTGACGCCACCAGTTAAATTTCCAACTTGTAAAAAGGAATTACAGAAAAAGTTACACACCTTTAATCCCAGCACCAAGCAGACAGAGCTGGTGGATCTCTGAGTTTGAGGCCAGCCTGGTCTATAGATCAAGTTCAAGGACAGCCAAGCTTGGGCAGTGAAGGAAGCCATGGGGAAGATGTGATTGAACAAAGGGGCCATGTTCCAGCCTAAACAAGCAGCAGAACTTGGCAGCTTCAGCCACACGGTTCTGGCTTTAGAGTCAGGGATAGGAGAAAGGGGTGATGGAATCTTCTTCTGTAACTAAGGAAAGCCACTGAGGGCAGGGCTGTGTTAGGGGTGCTCCTGCAAGGAGGCCTAGAGAGGCCATTGCATAAAGCTGTGAAGGTGAAGCCCAGATTGCTTTGGAGATGCCAGCACCATGGGCTACCTGCTGAGAAAAGCTGCTAACAGGGAGTGAACCAGCTCAAGAGAAAGAAGTGTGTTTCAGTCAACAAAGCTGAAAGGAGTTGGAGATTTTGACATCAGACATGGAGATACTAAGTTTGGAGTTTGCCCAGCTGGTTTTTGGTCTTGCTTTCGTCCAGTGTTTCCTCACTTTATCTTCCCTTTCCTCCATTTTGGAATGGATATATATCTATATATCTATATATCTATATATATATCCTGTGCTGTTATATGTTGGAAGTATGTGATCTGTTTTTTGATCTTGACTTTATAGGGGATTACCATTAAGAGATTGCATCAATCTCAGAAGATACTTTGAACTTTGGACTTTTAAACATTGTAAAGACTGTGATGGACTATGGGGACTTTGAAGCTGGACTTAAACTTTTAAGTGCATTTTGTAATATGATATTGTTTCAAGCTTATGGGGAACAGAGAGTGGAATGTGGTAGTTTGAATGTAATTGGCTCCCATAAGCCCATAGGAAATGGCACTATTAGAAGGTGTGTCACAGAGGGTGGCCTTTGAGGCCTCCTATGCTCAAGCTATACCCAGTGTAACAGTTTACTTCCTGTTGCCTGAAGTTGTTGAAGATGTACAGCTCTCACTCAGCTCCTTCCCCAGAACCATATCTTCCTGCATGCTGCCATGTCCCACCATAATGATAGAAACTAAACCTCTAAAACTATAAGCCAGCCCCAATTAAATGTTCTTCTTTTATAAGAGGTGCTGCAAGCTGGATGGTAGTGCATGCCTTTAATCCCAACACCTGGGAGGCAGAGGCAGGCGGATCTCAGTGAGTTTGAGGCCAGCCTGGTCTACAGAGCAAGTGCCAGGATAGGCTCCAAAGCAATAGTCAAACCCTGTCTTGGGGTGGGGGGCTACTGTGGTCATAGTGTCTCTTCATAGCAACAGGAACCCAAATTAAGATAGCATCCCAAAATCAGTTTAAAAAAGCAAATGCATCATGAATCCAGAATGTTCCTGGCTGTGCTGTGTTACATCTCAAAGATTCACAACAGCCTCGGTTCTGAACACACTGCATACACACTGTACATGCCATCACTCTACACAATTCCAAAAAATACAACCTGAAACACCTCTGCTAGATTCCGGATCACTGCATATCATAAACTGCAATGATTTTACTATACATACAAAGTTTTCTGTTCTTATAGAGACAAAGTGGTTTTATTATAAAAACATGCATTTTCCTATGATCATTCCTCAGTATGTAAGTCTCAAATGGATTATATTTGTTAGAGTGTCTGATTTTTTTTTCCCAAGACAAGACTTTTCAGTGTAGTCCTGGAATTCACTCTGTAGATCAGGCTGGCCTCAAACTCAGAGATCCACCTGCCTCTACCTCCCGAGTGCTGGGATTAAAGGTGTGAGCCACCACTGCCCTGAAGAGTATTTGATTTTTAAAACTGCTCTTTGAATTGCTGACTTGAGTTTCACTTAAACAATCAGTCCTTGAGATGCTGGAGAGATGGTTCAGTGGTCCAGAGCACTGATCGCTCTTTCAGAGAACCCAGGTTTGTTTTTCAGCACCCTCATAGTGGCTCACAACTGCCTGTAACTGCAGTTCCAAGGGATCAGCCAATCTCTTCTAGCTTCCAGAGGTACCAGGCACGTATATGATACATATACATACATGCAGGTTAAACGATCTTATGTAAAATAAACTAAGAAAAAAAACTTAAGTAGAGTTTGGCTGGATATTAGGACAAAATTTCCAAAAATCTCTGAAATAGCCTAAACACATTCCTGGCACATATTTATGTGGAAAGTCATCAACTCTGAAAAACTTTGAGGATGCTTTTGCATCCTGCAGTATCAAATATTCAGGAAAGATTTAATCCTTTATGTAAAATATGTAAATAAATAAGCACAGGCATCCCATTGGTATGCAAATGTGCTTTTGTTTTTAATAGATGATTGCATAATTGAAAGGAGACAGTTTAAGACATTCTGCTGCAGAACAAGACACCAGGCCAAGAAAGGTAACACTGGGACCTCATAGTCCCGGACCTGGGGCTAATCCCAGCTGCTGTTCATCAGCTATGGCTGTAGGGATAGTGCCTAGACTTTTCCATCTATAAAAGGGAAATGTGTCTAACAGTACCTCCTGACAGGCCAAGTATGGCTACTGCCTTTACAGTCAGATGGGAACACAAGCCGAATTCTGCAGTCTCAGGGAGAGGTTGTTCAGCTGGGCTGGCCACGTGCAGGTTTCAGTAGGAATGGGGGTGGTTGAGCTTTCCAAGAAGGCATCTCAGTCCTGCCCTTATGTGCTCTGTCCGCTATGCTGTCTCTGCCAGGCACTGGGCCAGAGGCCCCATGTAGGGAGGACAGCCCCCACTAGCCTCTCATCGTCATCCAGCCTCCCCATTAGCCCACCAGAGGAGTCCTGGTCGATAAATGGGTCCTGATGGGCACATTTTTTTTCTTCTGCTGAGCAGTTTAATGGCAATTAATTTTTTTACGGGAGGATTTTTAATCTGTGGAAATGGATGGAGTCCCCAAGTGCCCTGTCAAAGCTCCACACCGACCTAATCTATGATAAAAAATGCAAAGCGAGGTGATATAATCTGAAATTAAATATCGGGCTTCATTTTCCTTTGGCCCGGATGGATGAATATTTTATAACTATTGTGATTTAATTTTTTGTTAACTACAGCAAATTTCTAATTCATCCAATTCCCAAGTCCTGTGGCTCTGACCCCTGAACTCAAACTCATCTCTCCTTAGCCCAGCTGTGGCTTCGTCACTGACAGAAACTAATGGTCACTACCATCGGGGTGACATAGTGACTGCGATGATGAATGCAGTTGGTGGCATGCCCTCTGACCCTGTGTCAGGCAGACGGCAGGTCATTTTTCAAGCAAGCCATTAAAACAAAACAACAGAAAGCTGGGGATGAGGGAGATGATGGTGCAGAAGATGGTTGTATTTTATGCATTTCCAGGGGCCCCTCCAGATTCTCGTCGTTTCAGTGTCTCTCACTCTTGGGTCCCAATGGTGTTTGTCCTTCCCACCTTGTTTCACCTCTGGCCAACTGGAAGGCTTGTATGCACCCTCCGCTAAGCACACAGTGGGCTAGGCAGACACTCATTACTCTAGAAGATATAGCTTTGCTTGGGGGCAGGGGAGGCGAGATACTGAGCAGAAATGGAAGTGAGGTCCAAATGCTGCTGGGTCCAGAATGGTGACCTCATGGGGTTGGGAGAACTGAGGCAGGGAGATTTCCAGAGGCCACTCAGAAAGAAAGTACTGACCTCATTCCCAGTGGGTAGTGATCTCCCCACCTGGGAAGTCTAAATGGTATTGCTGAGCATAGGCTGGAGCAGGAGGCCTCGACGACATAGGGCTCAGGCATGGTCTCAAATATACCTGGCTCTCTGGCAGGGAGCACAGGCCTAGATGGGTCAGGGCCCAACCCAGGTCTCTGCCTGTGTGGCCCTGAGCAGACTGCCAAACCTCCCTGGGCCTAGTTTCCATATCTATAAAATAGGATCCATCCTCTCAGCAAAATCTGAGACCCTTCTTAACTCCCTTCCAACAATCTCAAAATACTCAATCTGCTCTTTCTCTGGGGTTCATGGATCCAGTTAGATGGAAGGAGCCCTTCAGTTCACCCCCATAAGCAGCAGAGGAAGCACCCTGGCTGGGAGGCTGGGTATCTATTAGGATCCAAGCTCAGGGAAGGGGTGCCCTAGACAGAAGTCCACCAGGCCCACCTACCACCAACAGGGTCACTAACTAGATCCCCTGAGGATCTGCCATAAAGTTGACAGGCACATAAGTCAGGGTGGAGCGCTTGCAGGCAGCTCACAGAGCCCCACCAGGCATGCTTCTACCTACAATCCTGAATCCCAAATCAGGAAGGCACATCCTCTTCCAGGATACCTGCCTAGAAGGGCAGCAAAGTGTCAACACATCTCAGACAAGAGGAGAGGCAGGGCTTCTACAGTCCCCCATCTTTCCAGCATGTTTCTGCTCTGAAGAGCAATGGGCTGAGAACATTTGGAGTGTGGCCAAACAGCTTGTTGTCATTCCAGTCTGCAGGCGCTTAAAGGACAGCTCACACCACCTGGGGAGTTGTGGGCTTCCACTTCACAGGAAGGTACCTCAGATTCCAAGGCCCCCAAGCCTCCTTGCATGTGGCAGAGCTGGCAGCCAATATCCCCAACACAGAATCAAGAGCCTTGCATCACCCTCACCAGCTAGACTCGCAGACTCTGGTGCCAAGTAGCAAACCTCACCTTTGCGTTTGGCAGTTCTGCGTGGGACGGATAGCTTTGGGATCTCTCTTTTGTATGAAGCACCTCTGATCCTTTTGTTGTTTGTCCTTGGAACTGAAAGAGGAGAGGAGGAGAGAGGGCATGAGGAATCTTAATCAGACAACCTGCAAGTAAGCAACCTGCTCACCTTGACACTAGGGCCTGGGTTCATGCTTGATGAGTGGATGAATGACTAAATGAGCCAAGCCCCAAAATTCCAGGAAAGCATCTTTGCCCAGAACATGGCTCCTACCAGGGAAGAAAGATGGAGACTGACAGACATGGTGACATCACACTTGTGGGGGAGAGCCTCTTCAAAGCCCTACAAGCAAGTCTATTGGCCAACCACGGTGGACTCATCCATTTGGGAAACTGAAGCTGAGGATGAATTCAAGGCCAACCTAAGCTATACAGAGAGGTCCTGTCTAAACAGGAAAGAGGAAGAGGACTAAGAGGAGAAGAAAGAGGAAACAAGAGGAGGAAGTGGAGGTGGGGGGACATGTCCTGTGGGATTCCTGTCATGTGACATGCCCAGTGTAGTCAGATCTACAGAGACAGGAAGCAGAATAGAAGGTACAGGCTTTCCTGCATATCCTGCTCCCAGAGGAAGAGGGAAGGAACGTGTGACAGCCAAGAGCTGGGGGCCAATGGGCATGGGAGGACTGTGCCTTCTGCATTCTGAACTTGACCTGTAGCCCAGTAGCCACACTCGTGGTATGGAAGAAAAGATGGCTTATCTGATAGCTGCTAGAACAGGATTTCATGAAGACAGAAGAAAAAAAAGGCAAGGCTAAAGAAGGTCCTGTCTGACCTGCCCATCAGGCAGCTTGGGACCGTGTCTACATCTGCCATTGACTCACAATCACAAGGCAGGGTGTGCCTCTAATATGCCCGTGGCTGTAGCTGCCAAATGGAATTCTGACCAGCCTTTATTCTAGCTTTGCTAGCGATCTGCCTCTTACCACTTCCTCCTTCTGTGAGAAACCCTCCTATTCTCCTGAGATGGAGAACTTGGAGGCCCCAAATGCCCAGGGTCTACATGATCTGGGGGAGTCCCAAAGCACCTGTGCTCCTACACCTCCCCTCCTCTCTACAAAACCTCCTTAGTGACTACACAACATCCAGCAGCCCCTGAGCCCAACATCCTCAGGCAGGGTTGAGGCTCCTGCCACCTCTCCATCCATGCTCCTTTATTGCTAATCAGAAGTGTGATCAAAACAACAGCTGTAATGATCTAAGTCTTCTGACCCAACACCCATGTTTTAGCACCCCAGGGCTAAGCCAGGCAAGGTCATCTTGAGTACTGCCTTCCATCTACAAAATGGGACAACAAGCCTTAGGGCTGGCAGGGACCTAGAGGTGTAGGTTCAGAATGGGGCTGGCCTACAAGGCTGTGGAAAGGGCCTGTCCTCTGTACAGAGGATGTCTTTGCTAGGAGACAGTCCCTGCTTTACATTCCTACCTTGACTCCTTCACTTGAGAGGCAAAGAATGAGAACCCAGGCTCCTAAGAATGTCAGGGTATCTACAAACTTCTGAGTGACCCCTTTCTAGCCAGGTTTCTTTCTGACCATAAGTGTCCTTATGTCAGCATCCAACCTAGAGCCACTCACCTGAAGCATGGTGCTGGGGAATCCTTGAGAGCTCCTGTCCCAGACTGAAAGGTGCCCTGTCCTTGCTTCTATATTCAGCTGCATGAAGAATTCCAGGACCTGAAGAAGAAGGAGGAGGAGGAGGAGGAGGAGAAGAAGGAGAGCAGAATGAAATAATTTCCAGAATGGAGGTCCAGTTTAGAGCCTTTAAATTGTTCCTCTGCTCAATACCTCAGGCCAGAAAACACATCTCTCAAGGCCATCTAGACACATTCCATTGTGACTTGATAAGAAGCCACACTTCATTCTCATCAAACCTGGCATAAACATCTTGCCCTGGAAGCTTTCTCAACTATGAGCAGAGCCATCTCACAGGCAAACTTTCTCCTTTTTATACAGTCTGGGATCCAAGCCCAGGGAATGGTGTCACCTACAATGGGCACCTCAGTTAATACAACTGAGATAATCCTGGGGACAGCAAGAAGGTTCAGGGGCTAAAACCACATGGCCATGTATGTTTGGTAACCTGATTCAATCCACAGAACCCTCATAAAGGTGGAAGGAGAGAACAAAGTCACAAAGTTGCCCTCTGACCTCCATACACTTGCCATGGCATGCATACCCATCATATACATATATCATACACACACACAGGATTATTTTTTAAAGACCATATCTCATAAGCTTATTTCTCAGGTGATTGTACATCTCAGGTTGACAAGTGACTTTGGCATAAGCTCAGAAGGCCAGAAGGCAATGTAAACAGTAAAGTCTGAGCTCTTGAGGGTCTGGGTCTCGAGAACTCTGCATGATAGCAGAGAACTTCTCTGCATTTTGTCTTCACTCTTGAGACCATGTATAAGGCTGAGTTTAAAAGTGATAAACCATTTCATTTCACAGAAGAAATTCCAAAGCAATCCAGTGTTCAGGATATAGCATGGGTATCACTGCCTTTTAGCCAGGTTTACAGTGAAAATAAGAAGCAAGAAGCAAATAAGGGTTGGAAAAGTCTTCGGTTTGGCTCAAAAAGAGCCTTATGTACAGTTGGAGCTGAGGATGATCCTGATGAAGATTAATTTTAGGAGAGAGCTGCTGGGACATCCTACTTGTGGAGGAACACCTAGGCACTCAAAGGCCTCAGAAGCCAAAGGGGTCCAAGTGGACCCCTGATTGCTAAGCTGGTGGGAGACCTTAGTATTGTCTATATGAGTCTGGTTTTGAGGCACGTAGAACTCAGAGATAATGAGCTCGTGGAGGCTCCTGTTGAGATTTCAAAGCAAAGTCTTTTGGGAGGCAAGGTCAAGATCCCTGTAAATGTATTGCCCTTGGAAGGATGGAGCCTGAAGCTCTCCAGGTGAGGTCTAAGCTGCAAAGAAGACCCCAGGAAGTTAGAGATTCCAGGGCAGCAGACTCGCTGAGGAAAGATGCAGGCAGAAAAACAGCCATCCCAGGAGAGGGACCGTGGAGGCTGCAGCAAGTAGGGCTTAGAGGTGGGGCTGTCGAAGGCCATGCACCCCGAATGCCAGACACAAACCTACACACTACAGGGACTGGACAGATGGTTCAGTGGTTAAGTACACTTGCTGTTCTTGCAGAAGATAATGGCTTGGCTCCTAGCCCCACCTCAGGTAGCTCATACTGATGTGTTTATGTGAGCTCATACTGTTTATATGCTCCAAATCCCTCTTCTGGCCTCCATGGGCACCAGGCACACATGTAGTACACATTCAGATACACAGGCAAAGCACTACATACATTTAAAAAAAAAAAAACTTTTAAAAATTTAAGCTTTAGGTTATACTTTCCCTAATAGTTTCAATCTCAATTTGGCCCTAATACATTTGATGTTCCTCTTATTCTCTTTTGAAATAGATATTTTAGCTCATATTGTATATTGGGAAAACAAAACTTTCTGCCTGGAGTCTCGGAGGAAAGTTTGATAGGACCTTTTAGCAATTTTAGAACCTTTAAGCTTCTTGAAGATGGACTAAGTGGACATTTACTCTGAGATAAGCCTTCAGAGTCCAGGGCAGAATGGTGTGGTTTTGATAATAAAAGGTCTCAAAAGCTCCTGTGTCACCAAATGGTGACACTACCTGAGGTGACCAGATGCTAATTCTAGGGATGCATTAAAAACCATTGATGGGTTTCTAACCAAATAGACTATGATACAAGGACCAAGTGTGTCTTTGCAGGGTACCTCTTGTCCCTGGATTCTTTTTTTTTTTTTTTTTTTTTTTCTCACTCTCTCTGCTTCCTGTTCACTGTACGGTGTGCCAGTTGGCTTTGGCATGCCCCTGCACCATGTGTGCAGATCAGCTCCACCACACCCCTGCACCATGTGTGCAGATCAGCTCCACCACACCCCTGCACTATGTGTACAGATCAGCTCCTCCATGCCCCTGTACCACATGTGCAAGTTGTGATCTGCCACACCCTTGCACCATGATGCTCTGTTTCACAGTGGGCCCAGAAACAATGGACAGAGCCCTTTGAAACACAAACCAAAGAAAATCCCCCTCTTCCAGGTAATTTTTCTCAGATATTTTGTCCTCAAAGACCTGGCCAGGGCAATCTGGGGGGGGGGGCACATGGGGACTGCTGATGAGTTTTGTTTCTTCCTCTATATTTAACTGTGCTTTAAAAACAATGTACTTGAAAAAAGGCACAAAAGGACAAGTCTGGTGGAATCCTATTTCTATGAGGTGCCCAGAGTCATCAAACCCATGGGGTTTGGAAACAGAAGGTAGGTTCCAGGGTCTGGGGAGGGGATGGGGCTGCTGGGGTTGAATATGAAGGATGGATCATTTTAGAGAAGGCTGGTGGTGATGGCTACATAACAAGGAGCAGATGTCTATAATGAATAGGACATTTTTAAAGATGGTAAAGGTTCTTGCTGCCAAGAGTTGTCCTATTCCCTAGATGGATGGTGACAAGAGAGATCCTGACTCCTACAAGCTGTTCTCTCTCTCTCTCTCTCTCTCTCTCTCTCTCTCTCCCTTTTCTTCTCTCTCCCTCTCTCCCTCTCTCACACATACACACACACACACACACACACACACACACACGAATGAAATGAATTTTTAAAATGGTAAGTAGCTTCTTGAAAACAAGCTACAGCCTTAGAAAGGAGATCCCTCCCCACTTAGAGAAACCCTTGATCAGCTGCTTAGCCTCTAGCATCCCTGACAGGAAGCTCCAGAAAACCACCTGTCTTGCTTATGGGTTGTAGGTGGGCCTTCTAAGTCCCACACTGGTTAGCCTGACAGTGCCAGGCCTGTTTAAATACCCCCTATGGCTGCAGAGACAAAACCAAGACCCCATTCCCAGGACAGCAGGTCTTTTCTACACCTCCCACAGGCCCTCTGGGTCTGTTCCAAGGCCCTACCCCTCTCATCTCCTGATACAATAATGAACTTTCTTCATACTTACCTCAGCTCAGAAGCCCCACCCCAAGCTGCACTGGCATCCCAGACCTCAAACCTCTTTGGGGGCCTTAGGAACATATGACATGTAGCTCCCACTTGTCTGTTCTGTGTGCCTTGGTCACTACCATAGCCTTGCCTGGAACATCACCTTCCTACCAGCTCTCCTCTTTTCCCACAGCCTGTGGTCTAACCAGCTGGGCAAAGCAACCACTGACCTGGGCTGGTAGTCACCGGGACAGCATTTGTCACCTTGGGGGTCTTCCGTCGCAGCACTGTCGAAGAGTTCTTGTAGAGGCACGAGGCACTAGAGGGGACAGAGGTGCCCAGGGAGGCACAGCTAGCCTGCCACTGTGCCTGGGCTCGGATCTTGTCCCTCAACTGCTCCAGACGAGGGTTACTCTTCCTGGGCTGACGCTGGGGCCCCAACACCAGGGGTGGCCTTTCTTTCCAAGGCCCATGGGAAAGTGCACAAGATTCATGCCCCCCTGAGGAACCAGAGAATCGGCCAGATGACACTGAGCTGTTCACATCCCTGGTGTCCAAGCATGGAGACCACATTGGCAGGCTGCAGTCCTTCATGTGGGGGTCCGGCTCCTTGATATAATCAGACCAGGCCACATAGGGAACTGCCGGAAGAGACCCCAGCTGCTGGGAAAGCGTAGGCCACCTCAGCGTGTCCAGAAGGCTGTCCTTGGCTGCATGTGGATGGAACACTTCTTCCCTTGGAGAGAGCAACAGCACAACCAGTCAGAGCAGAATCTCGGGTGGAGTCCTGTAATCCCCAGAACCCCTTCTCCCTGTTTCTACTTCACAGCCTGGGAAAGACAGGAGGGACCAGAAAATGCCCCTACTGTGTGGATGCTGTGACATTCTCCCTCAGACACTAACTACAACCTTTTAACATAGGTGTCATGGTAAGTTCAATTTATGAATGAAAAAACTGAAGTTAGTAGCCAGGCTAACCCTAAACACACAAGCAGGTTTTGGCCAGAGACCCACACACTCAACTGGCACATCTACCTACCTCCCACAAAGATGCCCCTGGGGGAAGGCGACCACACAACTAATAGCAGTACTAATAGTCTTGTCCAAGCCCACACAAACACTACCTGGCCTTGGTGCTGGCCTTCTGATGGGCCGTTCTCCTTGAGGCCTTGAGGGAGTAGAGACCTTCTTGCTGGCTGTTCCTGGGACAGGTTTGCAGGGTTACCCTTCGGGAGGTGGGCAGCACACCCATGGCCGGGGTTGCCATTGCAGCCAAGGCAGAAGGGTATGGATGACAAGCCACACCACCAGGGGGCCCCGGTCTAAGAATTTAGTCACATGGTAGCCTGTAGGTCTACCACCCAGCACCCATCACGGACTGGCTATTGCCTTGCTCTGGGTACTGTCTAGTATGGGTCCTCTGGCCCTCGGGACAGTCATTGAAGGTGGGTAGGGACAATGAGTATTAACCCTGGGTAGACAATGGCTGTGGGACTTCCAGATGGGTCTGCTTCTCATGGGGTGGGAGAGAATTCCAGGTGGCCCATGACAGCATAATAACCCCGTGTCACTGAGTGACAGCCTGAGGCGTCAACCCCTACTTGTGGCTCTAGTGGGCATCCAGCTGGCCCTGACATTCTAGAGGCTGACATTCATCTGAGACTTCTGGAAGTCAATATGGGGGGAAGGATAGGGTTCTGTGATTGGTAAACCCAGTGTTTAGCACAGTTCAAAAGACAAAGGACTTGAATCTCAGCACCAAGCAGGATAACCTTGGACACCAGGGACCGCACCCCACCCTGAGGACTGTGAGTGCCTCACAGGCCCTTTGGTGTCTCACCTCCTTCCTGTTGGCTGGGAAGGGAAGGTGTGGTCAAGATTAGGAATCCTACCAGGCTTGGGGCTTTTCTTCGCAAGTGTCCCCAGAGAACAGAAGACTAGAGCAGCATGAAAAATACCGAAGACTTGACCTTTCTTTCCCTTAACGGTGCTGGAGATAGTTCACAGGGATTGTATATGTTGGGTGAGCCTCTACCACTGAGATACACTTCAGTCCTGAGACTGTTACTAAAGGACCTGATCTAGGAATGGGGACACAAATCCCAGAAGATAGCAATCCAGGGACAGAGTGCCTGATTGTGAGGGGAGGCTACCCCCACCAGCTCCTAGGCGCTCCCTCATAGCCAGGACATTGTGGTACGCAACAGATAGGACCCAGAGTTGAGTCCAGGGCCCAGGGCCCTGAACAGACCTGGTGCAAGCTTTTCCATCTATCATTCTCCCCAAGGCTGAGGGAGAAGAGGCCTTCTAACTGGATGTTAGCAGATCTGCAAGATAGCACACTCAGGATAGGGATCTGATATTGCTGTGGGGCTGAGGCAGGGGGATGTGGAGGGTGAGCCCTGCTACCTAGCGCCTCAGTACAGCCATATGTGTGTTCCTCTTGGCAGTAGTAACTACATGGTTCTGCCTTGACTGCCCTGGCTTACAGTAGTCCTGCCTGAGCTCTTCTGCTGTCATGGGCAGACTGGAACAGACCCCATCTATATGTTCCTTGATGACATTTGCAAGAGATCGGTGGTCTCTATGAGCGGGGTGGCTTCAAATATTTTTACGTATCTGGAAAACATGTAGGCCTTCTAGACTTTTCCAAACATGTTCCAAGAGATGGTGTGTACCTCTGACTAGAAAGCCAGGTAGGATTATGTAGAGGGATATTCACTTTGTCTCCTTCTGTGGCACTGGCCACGCCCATTGGAGGGTGGAGCCAGGGGCGGAAGTGACTTGTGGAAGGAGGTCTGAGGAGGAGCCAGAACACTCTCTTGCTGATGAGATGAGGAGAGGAGAGCATCCAGTGGAACTTGCTGGTGTTCTTCTGTCTAGGTTGTAAGTTATTTCTCCCTGAATAAACATCTATTCAGCCTATTTGTTTATCCTGATCCTTATTTAACTGCAATAGGATTATACCAGACTGGGGCATGCTAGCCCAAGCCAGGACATGAGGAAGCTGGATCTTAGCAGGGAATGACCACACAACTCTGGGGGCTTAGAGAGCTCTGGTTTAGGATTCTGTGTTCCATAGAGCCTCGGCAGATGGCCCTTTGTAGCCTTTGCTACCCTGTCTCCCACCTTGCTGCCTCTAAAATGGTAGGGCCCAGGCAGCCCTGAAGTACAAAGGCTATCCAAGTTCTAGAGGCTTGAACCTTTGTTATGTAACAGTTTCTGCGGAGGTTGAAATGTTACAAACTGAAGAGAAGCTCTTTCAGCTGTGAGGTAAACAACTCAAAATACTTAAGGAAGTCCCTGAAACTGACCAGATTTCCTAGGTCCCTGCTGCCAGGGTGAGCAATAAAAGACTTCTCTCACTTCAAAAGACAGCTGCCTCGAGAAGCAGAACTTTCAGACCAGAGTCACTAAGAAAGGACACTCTCCAACCTGCTGAGCTGCCTGCAGGCTGTGCAGTGTGCTCCATTTTATCAGCTTTTGTGAGCTGTCACCTATGCTGGGGTGGCCCTTGGTGATGTAGCTGTCTTTGAGTCATTTCTGCTCCTATAAGCAGCCCCTCAGCTGTATTACTGTAAGTAACACCAGTAAAACTCATTGGTTCACCAAGCTGGACTTGGTGGTATCCATACTTTGGTCCATCCTGGGCTCCCTGTCTGGGGTGAGTAGACTTGGGTTATGTCTCCCCAGGGAAAGTTTTGTCACACAACACCCTTGAATGATGGTTACCTTTCACACCAGGGAGTGCGTGAGGTCCTGTTTTGTTCTCCCTGAGGCAGAGGGGCAGGGTGGTTCTGAGCCCACGAGACAGTGTTTTGTCACTCCTACCCACAGGAAGCTGCCTAGGGGTTGAGCTGTCTCCACTAACTGGGGTTTGACTTGTCTGGAAGAAACCGCACCATAAACACAACAGATTAGCCAGAACGAATACTTGACTGTTGCTTCAAACTAAGCTATTGAAACAAATGCCTTGTGAGCAGAAAGAGAAAACCAGTGTGCAAAAGCAGCAGCACCCTGCAGGCTGGCTCCCACCCACCCTGCGGGAGCCGAGCCACCATCCTGCAGGCCAGGAGCTCCTATCCCTCTGTGCCTCCCATGCCACTGCAAGTTTGGCACTCTGCCCTTCCTTGTCTCCCTCAGCCTTGGCGTACGGCAGCGCAGTAGAGGCTGCGGCCACGTCTTTTCTCGAAGACCAGGTTCACCCCTGAGGCCTCAGCTGCAGCTCCAAATTGGACCACAGGCCAAGGTCAAAGTCAGGGTGCCTTCTGCTGATACCCAGTCCAGCAGGATAAAATCTACAGACTGCCTGCCCTGGCCCAGGGCTGCTACAGCAGCTGGCAGGGCAGAACTGCACTATGGCTGCCTTAGGGTAACTAGGAGCAAGGCTTTGTGGCCTCGGGGCAAACTGCAGCCCAGGAAAGGATAGCACTTACCCCCACAGGTCAGGCCTGCTCTTATCGCCAGTGCATCTCAGGCCTGGAGGTCTGAACCCCTCATGACTCGATCTTGGGCTCCCAGCCCTTACTAATGTATCATTCCCTTTGCCTCCAACCATGTGCAACACTAGCTCAGGTCCGGAGGCCACGCATGTCCCCTTTCTTCCTGCACCCTCCCTCACCACTCTTGGGAGGGTGGTTACCTCCATCCTGCTGAGGGCCTGGGGTCCCCACACTGGTCCCACATTGGTGGTACTGGCCAGATCCCCTTCTGCCTCCCTCCAAGGGCAGGGACTCCTCAGGGATGAGCGCAGCCTTGCTAGCAGCCAGCACTGGCCATGTTCCTTTAATGTAGCCTTCACAGAGCCCTCTGCAAGGCTTGGGCACTGTGCTCATCACTGGTGGCTTTGATGTTGCATCATTCTTTGACAGTCTTATGAAGTCTACTGTACCAGAGGGACCAAGTCACACATCTAAGGTCCTGACAGGGTCATAGTCCAGGGTACCAAATCCTCTCTACAATCCACCAGACCCTTGTGGCCAGCAGCAGCAGACACCTGTGGACCATGTGTAACTTCACCTAAAGTGCAACTTCTTGTCAGGGAAGGGACAGGAGCAACCAGCAGAATGGCCACATGCCTTCTGTCCAGCAGAAGGAGGGACTCCCTTCAGTGACCTCAGACAAGTCATTCAGAGCTCTCAGTCTAAGTATACTCCTTACTAGAGTGGGCCCCGCCTTAGCAGGGCTCATGGGATGTCAGAAATGCACAGATTACAAGGTGCTCACCTGGCTGGGCATAGAATAATACTTAAAAATTTGCTAGAGCCCAGACCCTGGCCTGGGCACAGCCCACTGTCCAGTTCCTCCATGAACCACACAGGCACAGCTAAGAGTGACAGCTACTCGACAGCATAGCCCAAGAGGCACCGTCCCCCAGTCCCCTGTGACTGTGAAAAGCACACAAGCTTTAGCCTGCAGCATATGCTATGTTTAGGCTACAGTCTGGGTGGGCAGGTGGCAGCGGGTGGGGAGGGGCTTTCTTCTGGAAACCTGCAATGACTCTAATTAGCCCCATTGTTTATTTCTCACCGCCTCCTCCCAGGAAAAGCAAACCCCAGAGCAGTCTGGGGGCAGTCAGTGAACCATGAAGGGGGCAGGGCACCACACCCACCATCCTAGGGGCCCCTGGGGCTTGATACCTCGGAGCACTCCACAGCAACCTCAATTCAAGTCTGGCGTCCTTGTGTTGGCATGGCACCCAACTGCCAACATGACTGCCCAGACTGTAGCCTGATCAACACCTGCAGCGGCCACAGCCCTGCCCTGAACACACCACACTGCCAGGGAAAGGAGCAGAGCCTCTGGCTTCTAACAAAAGCACCTTGCTTTCCACAGGTCAAAGGAGGTCCCAGTTTACAACAACAGGCAGATGGCAGGAACACCCTGTGTATAAAGCACAGTTCTTTTCCATGAGACACAACATGCACATCATATGCATAGCACGTAACACACACACACACACACACACACACATGCCGGCCAGCTCTGTGGCTGGGGGTGGGTGGGGGAGATATTTGCACTTCTAAATCCGGTGAGCCTCTCTCTCTAGCCCCATAGCCTGTTCCAACACAGACTGCTCTCCAGGGAAGCCAACTGATGCCTCTGTCTGATCTGAGCCCCAGGGGACAAAGGGCACACAGAGGTGGCAGATGCAAGGGTGGAAACCAACCAGTACAATAGCAATGACTTGGGACGGAGGCTGCCATTCAGGAGGCAGATGGGAGTGCTGAAAGGATGGAGATGAAGCAGATAAGTGGAGTGGACACG